ATGAAGTGCTAATATTGTGTAAATATTTGTTTGGATCAACTTCAAGTATATTTTTTTCAACGAAAACGTTCCTGAGGTTGTTCAGTTAGTTTATACCTCCACTAGTGGTAAATGTTTCACTGTCAATCATTACAACCACTCTCCCACTCGCTGTTGCTTGAGAATTTTAACATGGGTTTTTCAAGTTATTTCATTTTATTGTATTTTTGATTATGCGAAAATACTGAAAACCAGTTAGAAGGAATCTCTCTAGCGAACAATAAGATCATGATGATTGACTCGCCTTGAAAAGAAGCATTTCTAGTCGGTAAATTCACGGGAAATCTTGACTGAAAATCAACTTTACTGAGAGATTACCTAACAAGACTAAGAGCATGTTCAATGGCTGATGCCTAACACGAAATTAAAGTATAACCATGAACACTATTTATAAAAGTGGAAACTCAGTATAGTAAAGTTGATGAGTATAAATCAGAGATAAAATACTTCCTTCCAGTATTACTGAAATCATCACCAACTGGTAAGTTTTTGGCTAATCTATGGGTAAGCTGTTGTAGGGAAGCCAGCAGAAGAGCGTAAGTTTTGCGGTGACTACACGCAGAGAGAAACATGAGCTGTCGATTCAGCAAGCATAGAGAATATATTTACCTATAATTTAAGACAGTCGACAAACTGTAGCAATTCACAACCAGAAGATGAAGCAGTCTAGGAGTTAAAACTGAGAAATAGGATGGGTTAGGTTAGGTTGAAAAGCTTTACATTACAACACATCAGGTATCTAAACCACCTGTTTAACAATAGGAAAAACATTTTATCGTATGTAATGTGAATATTACGTGTTCTATGGTGAGTATTAATACAAATCTCAAAAAGTGTCATTGACATACACATAAACTTTGTCTTAACATATTACATTACGACAAATCCGTTATTAAGTTTATTTGACTAACAAAGTTATTAATATTCATATGAATGACTTCTACAAAAGTGATTGATTTCAAGTTAATTTTCACCACTGATAAAAGTCATCTAGAAATTCACTATAAATGAAACATTATTAGATAAATTTTTGCCTTACATAGGGACTACTGATAGTTCTATACCAACCTAGTAACTGAAGAGCAAGACATTCCTCGAGAGAATTGAAGATCCCCAGCTCAGTCTTGCATGAAATCTTGGCTGATTACATCTGGAGAGACCCAAACTGGGACGAAACAGTCGTTCAGTGCCTGCTGGTTTCCAGTGGTTGCCTACCTGATTTCGATCAGCGATGAAAACTAACTAAAAAATATCTTCATTCTGTTTAGACAAACAGTCTACATTGAAATAAAACAGCAACTTTCCTATACACACTACTACTACAGTACTTAATAGTGGGGTTATGTACAAACAGTTAAATAACGCATTTTAATGATGATAATGACAACATTATTGGTAACAGTACTATTACTGGTAATGATGATAAAGGAAAAAATAATACCAAAAGATATTTCATTGGCAATACTAAGTCAAAACTTATGAACCTAGAAATTGCATAATACCAAGGAACGAAAAGAATAATGATCACAATCTAACTTCACCTGCAGTAAATCATCAAGGCAGGCATCGTGTGCCCATCTGACGGAAGAAATCTTTGCTTTTATGAAATGCTGACGAAGTAGATTTTACAGAATCACCTTCGGAATTCTGATACTTATTTGGCTTTCTAATATCTAAACAATTTGCACTGTCTCAATAATAAGTGGGTTATCGAACCAAGGTGGGACATTTAAGGATATTTTGTCTTATCTTACCCTCATTCCCATTTTCAGACCACGCAATGAAATTTAAAAGATACCTTTTATCCTGTTCCTAGCAATTTTGTCAAGCAGAAGCCCGAAATAGTCAGTCTGAGTTTTTCTTGTGCGTGAAATAGAGCGAACTGGTTAGGAATTCTGAATGGCTGACTATCAAAAGGTGACTTCTGTTCATGAAGCTTCACTGTGATATAGATGCATTTAGTCTAGTTTGATGGCATCGACTGACTAGAGTCAGTAGTGGAGATTTCTGTGGCGTAATTATTTACTGTTGGTTTTCAATCTGACTGATTATTGTTACTGATATGGGTGCTACACGATACATGCCACTTGGCAAATTAGTAAGCATTTTGTCAAACACCGAATCTCCTATAAGTGAGCCAGATGACAGATCAGTCCTCAAAGAAAAATAAGTCAAAAAAGTAACCTGCCTCTTTCTTGCCAGCCTCTCGAACAAGATTCAGACTTGCTTCTTATATACATAAATATTTAGGAATTCTGGTAAAAAGTAGCCCTTTAAAGTTCACAAAATGTTTTTCATACTTTCTTTTTCTGCTGTAAATAAGTAATGACTTCGATTGTCATTCCTTCTTATTCTACACTCCTTCCACTCACTATATCATCACCATCATCAGAATAATCAGAATCATCGTGAGATCAGACATTACTGTGTAATGGTTCAAGTTGCCACACCTCATATCAGCACATTAAGTAACATGGTAGTAAAATGGAAGGTGAAAAAAGGAAGAGAAATCGGCCAAAAAAAGTGGTAAAATAGGAAGGAGGAATGAGAAAATTATGAGATCAAATAAAGCGGTTAAGATGAGAATAAGGTGCTTGCATCTGTGTCACTGACATCCATTCTGAGCCATGTCACTTAGAGTCAGTCTCTATCTACTGGTTTCTCTTAGTCCGTGGACACCAACTAGCTAGTCCGCATCGCGCCACATGGCTCAAAAAACAGTCAAGGACTTCATGCATTCATGCCATGTTTTAGTCTGGCAACCCGTAGCTTTTTTCTAACCTGAACCTACTTTGACCAACATTGTCCGAAGAGACAGACGGTGGTTAGGTATACGTATCGCATGTCCCAGCCATCTCAGTCGATAAATGGTTACAACCACGTCAACTGAGTTACCTCTCCTGCCTAAAACTTTACACCCAACTTCTGCGTTACTCGTGTGGTGACACTATGAAACACAGCAGGTGCTGCGAAGGCAATGGTGGTCAAACACCTGAAGCCTTCTCATGTATCCTACCTTCGATAGCCATGTTACACAACAATACAGTAGGACAGAGTGAACTGTACCACAGTACACTAGATTCTCAATTGCAGCAGCGAAACAAATGGAGTAAATTTACGAAGGCTAATTAAGCCTTTTGTATCCGTGCAGACATTTCTACGGCCACTGAGCCACCTGGGTTGATCTAACTTTGCAAGTGAGTGGAGCGTTCATCTAACTCAACTACATTACCCACCATTTTTAGCCGTTGCACCATCGAATTCCACTTCTAAAGCAACAGTTTGCATATACTTGGCCAGAAACGCATCCCAAACATTCTTGCACTGCCAATCTAGGTGTCCAGAAGACTGCATCTTATCAGTGTCTTCAACTAACAAGACTGTTATCTGCGTATTCCAGGTCTGCCAAAAATTCTCCTGTGGTCAGATCAATCCACGTGTAGTGGTCAGATGTCGTCAGGGAGACCTCCATAAGAACGTCTAAAGTGGAACTGGATAAGAATGGAGAAAGTGGGCATCCTTGACGGACACAGCTCATTCAACATCCCACCGTGGACTGTTGCACGCCCACAGGTGTTCGAATAAAGAGCCTGCAATAAAATAATATGGTTATTCGATACTTCTTTCAGTGACAGATATTACCATAAGACTTCTCAAGAGAGAGACCGATCAATTTAGTCCAGTATAACAATGGGTTATTTATTGTAAGCATCGATAAATAACCCCTGATACTTGTTTGATAAGAAATGGCTCTCATGACTCAGTTGCCCAATGGACAAATTTCTGGTGTCTGAAGCGACTGGTGCTGATTTCAAGCCTCAAAAAGAAGACCACTCAGTGGGATGCAAACACATCCAGTTGATGAACCCAGAATGAGATAAAATACGTATTTTGGATTTTTATGAAATTCAGTGTCAACTAAATAACAACATGACCACAAATACTTCTCAACCTTAGAAAGAACGCTGAAGACACGATGAATTCTTGAAACCATAGTACTTAAGTAAAGAGGTAAACAAGAAACAAGTACATGTGAATGCTACAGATAGGTCAGATAAAAAAGTTTACCAGAAATAACGATAAGATTTTAAGCGATGTAAATATTCTTCATCAGAACAACCGTAATGATGATGCACCTATAAAGCGAAGTCTTTACTTTGAGTCTAGTCTTAGTGAGTGAATACGAATAGTGCATGATGGACTGAGCAACACAAGTCTCTTAACAGACACAATTTAAGTGCTGCTTTCAGAAGACAGAAGTAATAAATGAATTTTTGGATATTGGCTGTCAGCCTGTCATCATGTAATTAACCAGGAAACTGGAAAAAACGCTACCCAAAATACGGTTTCACTTGTTTTGTAAATACAAAATCTACTACAGCATAGTTTCTCGTTGAATTTTGCTGTGTCAAGTAACATATTAGGCCAGTGGAGTGAGCAAAACGTTTCAGTTTGAGCGTACTCATCCACTACTTCAAACTGATATCACCAAGTAGAAATAGAAAGGGGGACCGAACAAGTAAGATGACATCTAGTGAAATACTGAACGAATACCTCTTTCATTATAACCACTTTTTCCGAATCACATATAATCTTAAATGAAAAAAACCGAAGATACTAACCCAATTGTTAGTACAAGCTAACTGTAAGCATTAAACACAAAATCTTCCAATAGGAGACAATATTCTCAATTCATATTTCAAGTGTTTTAGTCTTACTTCTGCAGATGGCTTAAAGGAAGTAAGTCTCTACTGAAATAAATACACCACTTAAATTCAGGCATATCTGAACATTGGTTACTCTTCTCCAGACCATACTAAAGTAAGCTCTTAGCCTAAAATTAAGCGAACGTTATATTTATTATGCATAATCATATCATGATATCATTTTACTGATTATCTGAGCAACACCCAACACTCACTGAATCTTGAATATATGTTTTCCTATCTTCTTCATTACAGCTGATAAGGGAAGTGAAAGTAATCAAATCCATCAGTCATCCAAACATCGGTGAGTATTGTGTTCTGTTGACATTTTTGTTCACTTTAATAAATTTATGAGAAACTGATTGATTAAAACGACATTTTTATTATAAGCTGATATCCTTTGTACGAAAAAGCGACTACGGAACAGCTTTTTCTAACTATTTTGGACCTTGATGAAGTTCACACGCAACTCTACATAAGATAGATTCTAAGATTTCAATGTTTTATAACTAGTATATTATTATTTGATCAGTGGACTACAATATTTCTAAAGTTGATTACACAGTTATACACAGCTATTCTACTATGTGATGAATGGACATTTGTCCCAACTATCGAGTTACATAATTGTGCTGGTCACAAGTTCTGATGAGGACTTTAGAGAATTTATTGAACACCAATTCAGTAATTGATATTCGTTTATTATTCAGGCGAGTCGTTCTTAAGTTAGTGGTATATTTGATAATAGTTTTAGTAATAACGCTCCCTGATGTACGATATTTAATCGCTTTATACTAGAAAAGATACAGCAGAACCTCTCATCTGTTAAACAATTCAAGCAGATTTTCGTTTTGTGAAACAGAATTGTACGGTTTATTCTTAATTCATGCAAACATTCAAATGTTCAAGAAGTATTCAAATTTTTGTTAAGAACATTAGAAACAAATGTGTGGTATTCGTAAAATGTAAATAATACCTATAAAAATTCCACGAAAGGTATAAAACTCTTCGGAAGGTTTGCAGGTGATTCCAAATTTGAGTACATTTCAGGATTCTCTTCATTACAGCGTAGTTAAGTTTCTTTCTTGTTGATTAAACAGTAGACAGGATGATTATAGAATATTCTGTAAAACCAAAGGTCATCTGTAGCTGTTGAAGCAAACTTTGCACTAAGTAAATTAAATCCTGGACCAAACCCTTCGGTTGTACTACTGCCTCCACAAGTGCTTTGATTTCAAGGTATTTGAATAAATGGAATATGAGATGTCGGGTACGCTACTAGCACTCTCAGTATTCAGCGCTAGTAAGAAAACAAGGCCATTCGAACACTCCTAACCAGGTGATCCAGAGTCTATCGAGCTAGTCATCTCCATTTTCAGACGTTTGCGATCGTTGGGAAATAGAATTTGCTTTCCAGTTATGATTATAAATCTTACAGAAATAAGTTAATTTTAACAAGTAGTGAAATGCAGTGCTTCTAAACGAGCTTACTTGAGGATTTCGACTATTCTTTTCTATTTCCCTATCATCGTGCTTAATTCATAGAAGAGTGAAACACTTTAAATGAGAATTTCAACTAATACTGTTTGTCGGTACAGCTGAAGTAGGAGGCCTTGAATCTTATGAAAACTTACATCGTGTCTGCAGTTATTGTACACGTAACTGAATTATATCACTAGTTACTTGTGGCACTTGTATGAAAAATTAGTTTCTCTAAAAGTCATATGTGCATGTCTAATGTGGTTCGATTCTTTCTTGTGCTTCTCACAAAGGAGGTCAGTAACACTGTGAGTTTTACACTACCTAAATGAATGGTCAACTTTTCCGTAAAAGCATCCATTATTGTCGGAACAACTAATGAGGAGCATCCATTTGACGCTTAGAACTGATATGTTGTAAAAACCTTTCCATTCAGAAGGCTTTGCTTCACAATCTAAACAGAATACTAGAAATTATTATATTTTCTTCCTGATATAAGAATTCTATTTGCATGGCTTAGCGTACCATACTCATATATCAGTATAAGAATGAAACTGCCACCTACACATACCGCATAGGCAAACAAGGTGTCCATTTCACTAGAAGTCGTCTAATCCTTTCAGATGCCGGTCTCTGGAGACTCCTTCTCTTACCACAGAACAGTTCTCTAAAGTGTTAGCTTTTAGTGGGGAAATTACATGTTTGTACTGCTTTTTGGTTCCGGTATTTGTATTTTCGATACTTCTGAAAACAGGTCAATGAATTTCCTCAGTCTCTCACAAATTATCGTTTTTGATAGACATTCACTATAAGAAAACGTAACAATGAAGTTAAATACTTAATGGCGTTAAAATAAACAATTAGTTAATTTAAAAGGTGCAATAGAACTAGTATATTGAAGGCAATTTCAAAGAATCAGTTGGTCAGCACTTTAACGTTGTTAACTGAAGTATTGTTAAGTTCAAACGAGGTGAACAGTTTTCTTCTATGAAAAAAGTGTATTTGAAATAAATCTAGTATATTAAATTTGGTTTTCTTTCCAAAACAATTGACATCTTTCTGTATGTCAGCAAATCGAAGGTGTTAAAATGTTTTCTGCTTTGATAAACAGATAATGAGGTCTCCCTAGTGTCACTTCTCCTTTATCTAAATATTCTAGACGGTACAATCAGTTATACTTATGACAAAAAGGAATACATTAATAATATGTTTTCTGCTGACAATATCAAAGCAAAAACGTGAACAATATTGCAAACACATACACAATAAGTAGAAGCTATTATCCCTAACAGTTAACCAAGTCGTTATTTTTCAGCTTTGTATGAGCTTGAAGTCAATGAAACCAAGTAGATCGCTTCAGCAGGTTATGAATCAACACCAGATGCTACAGTGAAAAGCTTAGCCGAGTGAGGTGCATTGTGGAATCAAGAAATCCCTCATCAAGTAATTCAGTGTGATCAGTCTTATAAACCTGATATCTTTCGGTAAATGTTATAAAACCTTTACATGAGATAAATTAAGAATGAAATGTCCGTATCACATAAAAACTTCAAATCGAATATCTACGCAAAGTGAATTGTTCGAATCTCTGAGGTTCAGCACATCAGTGCTGATGTTTATTCTGATAATGATTCGATAGGAATAAATCTGTCTATAATATGGGCGAAAACGTTGAGTTCAAACACTCACACAAAATAAGACCGCCATTGTAATAAATAGACTAAGAAATAACAACAAATTAGGGAGGAAGAGACAAATTAAATAAATTCTACGAAAATTCTTTAAAAAAAGAACTCATTTCATCAAGTAAATTGTCCATGCTTCTAAAAAAATTCAAAGACAAGAATTAACCAATTACCAAACAGACTATGAATGCAAAGAGATGTAGCTGAGCGAAAGTACGATCGACTCAAAAATATAAGTCAGTATGAGAGGATAAAATAGGTATTATAAGTTGTCGCCTTAGTGAGGTTTGACATTTAAAATAAGCCAGGTAGACAGATAAAAGCGCAATTAACACTGCTCCCCTTCGTCTCCTTCTATAAAAAGTGTGATTATGTGAAGGACAGATTTGAAGGTGTACGTATTTCTCAATGCTTCAAATGGTAACAGTAAACAAGTTCTATGTGATTTGTTTGGTAGATATCTATTCAAAATGAGTTCGCTGTAGGTGCGTATGTTGACAAGAAGGAAGAAAGTTTTCTAAGATAGTAAACACAACGGAATGACATCAGTTGGAGAACCACTGAAAACCTCGGAATATCAAACAGCTGTGTCATCCTAGTTTGTGACTCTATAGTGATGCTCATCCGCGACCCCGAGAGAGATTGAACAGAGGTTTTCAATGATTCTCCAGCTGATATTAGTCTTTGATGTATTCATCAGTCCCCATAAAACACCGATTGAAAATTTATTCAAAAAGCTGATACACATTCATTCTGATTGACTCAATTGATCTTTTTGAACGAACTGCCAGCTCATAAAAACAAGTTCTACAGTGAATTAGTGATTCCATTAAACAGATTCAAGTGGATTCAGAACATATCCAGAAGAAAATCTTTTATGTTTCCTTTGCTTAAACCCCAGTAGTTCATTGATACGTGGCTGAACTTACTGACGAACCCCTAAGGAGAACTAGCTGAACTAATGGATTGATATCTAATTCCTTTGGAAAGAGAGACTTTAGTGACGTTAATGTAGATAAAATGAACGATTCAGTAAGCACCTGCAAGCCTCTCACCCCCTATACTATATATCTTTAGTTCTCTTCCGCTCCATTTTCGTTATAATTATGTGGACGTGTTACTCTACTCAATGTGACCAGTTACCTATTTTCTATAGTGTTATTGGCAGACCTATCATTCTTAAGCACGAAATATTTTAGTGATTTTTCACTTTGAATGTCTAGAATAGCTATCGACAAAAATGAAAGACCAACACAGGTTCTTAGCTCGAAATGTGATTATTCTCAGCATTATTATTTTATTCCATACAAACAGATGCGAAGAAATATAACGCAGAAACCCCATCTCTCTCATTCATTCACAGCCTCGATCAAGAAGATCTTTATTCACTAATTTCACCCGGCGGCAGTATTTCCACAAAAAGAAACAGCACAAGCAAACATCCGGCGCTTATCATGGGATAAGTGCATATTCGGATAGCATTAGTAACATTCCAATCCACTCTAAAAGTATGGTGACGGCATGTAAATGACACATTTACTGAGTTGAATTCAAAACAAATCCATAGTTTCCCTCAAACAATAACTCAATAGTAGATGCAATCCAATTCACTTATGAATTAGTAAATGAAGAAGGAGAATTACCTATGTTGGATTGCAAACAAAGAGGAGAGAAGATGGAAGCCTGGATATCAGTGTTTGTAGGAAACCAGCACATTTAAATGGATACTTGGATTTCACATCATCTCACTCCATATCTGTCAAGGTAGACTTGGTAAAATGTCTGAGTAATCGGGCCAGGAGTTTGACTAGTAAGTCAGACAACCTAAATAAGGAACTGAAGCATATTAAAGAGACATCACTATTTAACAACTACACTTCAGTATTTATTAGAACGTTTACAAGGACTTACAAGATAAAGAGTGATAATGTCAGTGGTAGTTTTGACATCCCTAAAAAAGAATTAAAATCCTCTGTAATACTGCCATATTTAGCAGGTGCACCAGAAATTTTATGTAGAGATCTTAACAACGCTGAGATTAGGGTGATATTTAAACCCAAAACCTCTCTGGGACAGAAACTTTGAAGGTTAATGACCCAGCAGAGCCAATTAGAAAAAATAACCTAATCGACCAGATGTCATATAATGATTGTGTGGTCAAGTTTATGGTTCAAAGCAGCCGATCGATGTCAGTCAGAATAGAAAAGCAAAAGAATCTAGTGAAACATGCAATGATAGACTCTGTCAAGAATTTTTGGAGAAAGGGATAGGTTTACAATTCTAAAACTCAATATTGGTAGATGGAGGATGAGATTGATCATATAATGTTTGTTCATTGAATAAACACCTAGCACATTGAACAGTAGTGAATGAGTCATCGTATATTGCAGATATCTGGAGAAGTTTACTACCATTAAAATAAACGAATGAACTGTTGAACTTTATAAAACAAGTTGTATGATTACTTTGATATGGATATGAGCAACACATTCTGGTTGAAACGTCATCCGGTAAATGATACTGCATCTCTGTGTCATATCTAGTCAATAATCTTGTGTGGAATCATATAAAACCCACTTGTGGGGGTCAAAAAAGAGTAGTTTGAAACTAGTAACGATGGTGAAGGAACAAGTGGTGGACATTGGTAACCACATCAACACAATGACATAACTTTTTGGTTGGTAGAAGTAGATTTTACGATTTAGGCTTAAAGACTGGTTCCTTAAGGTAACTACTTACTTTAGCGTCAGCATAGAACAGTAAGTTAACCTTTATATAAAGAGTTATGCATTCTAAAAAGAGGATTTCAACAAGTTTAACTAACTTCAAATAACCAATCATACTGCGTCACGAATTCAAACTAGCGGCCTCTAGACGACAGATGTTTCTCAGTAACATGATTTCGCTAATGGTTAGGTTTCCGTTTGGTTACTTTTATCATAAGTCGTGCTGTTAACATCACTGTCGTAATAAGTAATCTGTAGATGATTAAGATGGAACCTTTAACCTTAAGATCCTAATACGAGTCCCATTGGTAGATTGTTTTAACCTCAACATGAAGTCATGTGATGATTAATAAAGTTGAAGAAAATACACTGAGTACGAAATGCATGAAATGCACTAAGTCACTTGTAGCAGTTAACGTAATGTAATTTTTTATATTTATTCGTCTGTGTACACGTTAACATCAGTCCATTTTATCCAAGGACTGTTTCTCTTATCATATGGTTAGTTATATATTGGCGATTGTTTCATAACTCTCATGTACCACACTTCTCGAAATAAGCCTACTCTTGGAATTCTTGAAAAGTCAAGTTATGATATTATTGGTAATCCAGAAATCAGGACAGTTACAAGATGAGGGCATTGGATGAAGGTCACGCTATATCACCAATTGGCAGAGACAGGAAATGTGAACTACTGGATTCTAATCCAATGGCTCAACAGTAACGTACTCGCCACGAAACCCGACGGTACCAGGTTCTATCTTTGGCCGGGTAATGGATTCAGGTTTCTGAGGAATCCCATAGTAGGACGAAATAAATTTCCAGTTTTTTCAGGTTTCTAATGGTTCTGCAACTGAAGGCATTCTAGGCAATGATTGCAAGTCTCATGTGAAACCAATACTGTGCAAATACACTATATATTTGCATGAATCAGTCATCTCTGGGTAACCCATTTAGCAGCTGTTTAGTTCTTGAGGCTCACTTCTGATAGAAGTCTATCGATTATGTTTTCAGTGTGATTAAGTGACGTTTATAGCCGAACAACTTCTAAAATCCAACATACTGCATGTTTATTCATTTCCATTTATGGTTTTTATAAAAATATGAATTTCCTTATCCCACATTCCCTCCTGAGTAAGCAAAAGTTATAAAAGGCTTGATGGTGGCCAGCAATAGAATCCAGTAGGCACGTTTATTCCCATTTGGGCCGCGTCAGCTGAATGTGTCTGCACTCAAGTAACAGATGGTGTTTCCACTGAGACTTAACCCCCGTAATCATCGCTTCAAACGCCAAATCGACATGCATTATAACACTGAGGCAAGATAGCCATCTCTTGTGCAGCAAGCACTAGTTATTATCAGTTGCTTATACTTTTGATTCTCCGCTGTTATGCTGGATAGCATTGATTGCCCCCTGTTGGTACATGGGATTCTATGGGGATACCTCGAAGCTGCTTGAATGTTTGCCGTTACAATGGACCCTGTATAGCAGCGGAGAATTACAAGTATCAAGAAATAATATTGAGCAAAACCTTTTTTCAAAATAGTTTTCTTATCTACTGATAAATGAACATGAATATAGTGCGGTTTTCTTGTTGTTTCCACTACAGTTCAGTTATATGAAGTAATCGAAACAGAAAGACATGTTTATTTAGTCATGGAGTATGCGAAAAATGGTGAGTATTTTTAATTTAAGCAGTAATGTTATAAATTTCATGACGGTATTCATCAAGAATCGACATCAACTAGAGAAGCATTGGAAACCTGTGAACACTAGACTGTTTCACCCTACTCTGGGACTCCCCTGCAGTGAGCACTCATGACCTCTCCAGAGAGTCTGATACTACGACGAAACAGCTGCTCAGTGCTCCCAAGTTTCCAATGGTTCTCCAACTATTGTCAGTCTGCGGTGAATACCAGTTTGAAATCAATAAATAAATCCCCACAAACCACCAAACTGAAGAAATATTTTCAGTGTTCTTAGAATTTATCACAGAAACTTTATTGACAGAGATGAATGAGCACAACGTTCAGCTTATCTTGCAAAAGTAATTTAGACCTCTATACAGAGAATTACGCATTATAATCATCAAATAACTAAGAGTGGTTTGATATATTACAAAACAGCATGGTGACAACTTTAACACACTGAAGGTAGAAAAGTCATTTTAACAGTGATGGATTCAAACTGCTGCCATAACTATATCTACACACCTCCTGCTTAGCTGTTTCTAGAATACCATCGACTACCATATTGAAGAGAAATGGCACGGTCCAACAATCTTCTCATACTCTTTGTCCATTCACCATACTCAAGAGAGATATTTATATATTCACACTGTACTTGATGCGTAGCTATGAGTAGACTTTAAGATGTAAATGAACTACTCAGAAACACTTAACCAACAGGTTTTTTCAGATCCTTTTCCTATCCAAGGAATTGATTAACTTCGAAGTTTAAAAAATCCCCAGTGTTTGTTTTTACTTCAAGTACTTTTATGCAAACATCTGTTGGAGAGTCAAGGAGTTCTCAGAAAATCTACAACCAAGGTTAACACTGATTAGCTTTTTACGAATCACCTTTTTACCTACGTAATGTCAACCTGCATTTTGGACTCAAATGGTAACAGACCGATATCTCGACCATTTGTACGTAAATTATGTAGGTCCTTTTTAAAGATGTATACCTGACTGTATCTTAGAGTACTATAACTGTCTTGGCTTGTCATTTATAAATTAACACTCTATTTACTTCACTGATTTTTACGCCACATCTAATCCTAAGCAGAAGAATAGTAAGGTCATTGCTACTTGTGCTGTATGGTTGTTAAGCCATCTTTTGATGTGCCGTGCTCTCAGGGTTTCGGTTAACTTTAAAGATTACTAGCTGATATATCTTCTACCTCACAAACAACCGCACCGACACAAGGCTTATTACCGCCAATGTTTGGATGGGGAAAAAAAATATTGTAACAACTAACTGCTACTTTCATCTCATTTTTACATTGCGACCACCAACGCTGTCCGTTTTTTCTCAAGTGTTGAGTAATTTTTTATTTAACCAATGTATAATGAAACTACTGTTTGTCTGCTGGAATCAGTCGGCTGGAATCTTCGGTACAAACGAAGCATCAGTAAATGAATATGACACAATTTCTTTGCTTTCAAGCTGGAAATGACTACTTGATGAGTCAGGGTGATGAGTTCGTTAAAAACGGTTCAGAATCAAAGTACCTCGTTATGACCAAAACAACCGCACTTTTCTACTCAATTGGCCCTGTTTCTTTACCTACACTCTTTGGCTGCATATTTGGACCTGCAGTCTTATCAGTCTTATTTATCAAATGAACCGAAGTGAAGAAGAAACTGACGCTGAAGTAATATAAGAGTATTATTTACTGGATAATTTTCCAAGCAGAATTCACCAAGCATAGTCATATCATATAGTAAAAACGGTAGCTACAACAAGCCTAAGAGGGAATCGAAATCCTCTGTAGTGTAGCGATATAAAGAGGCAAAATCAGAATTTCTACGTAGGATTCACCTATTTTGGATGAATGTGACAATCAGTCCATAACCTCACTAGCCTTATGAGCTAGAAGATTCAGTAGACCCAATAGAGAAAAATGACCTACCATACCCTATATAACATGTAATGATTTTGAAGTCAAGTACATAGGTCAGAGCAGCCGATTGGAGCCAGTCAAAATTGTGAAGGACAAATTTTAGCGAATAATAGTCAATTATAGACCGTACTAAGATAAGTAATCTGGAAACAATTCCGCACCACTCTACCACTCTGCACGCAATGACACATATTCACACCATATGGTCGGATAAAGAGATAGTTCTGAAATCAAGTATAGCTAGGTGGAGGGAGAGATTGACTACCGACTCTCTACTCATTCCTTCAACATGGAGCACATGCAACAGGAATGAATCATCATACATTGGAAAATTCTACAAGAAGTGAAATTAACGAACCAAGAACTGTTAGACTTTAGAAGTGAAGTTTGAAAGTTTTGTGATTGCTCTGATTTGATTATGAGCAATTAGTTCTACTCGAAATATGGTTCGGTAAAGAATACTATGTGACTCAATGCTTTATCAGATAAACTAATTTGGTACGGAATTATGCTCTACCACAGGGCCATATTTTCATTGATACATCCCACGTTTAACAGTCCGCATACTTGTGTTGCCACTATTATTCACATTACTATTACTACTTCTTTTCTTAAGGGCGGCATAGCTATGAAAATCTAATATCGAAAGTTGTGTGATCACTTTGATCATGAGAAATTAATGCTGCTCAAAAAGTTATTCAGTAGATAGTACTCCATCACTGTGGTCTGTATCAGATAGTGTCTAATATGGAATAATAACAAAACTCATATTGGTTGCATTCAGGCTACAATCTGATGCAAAAGCCTGGATTTGGCGGTGATTGTCTCCTCTTTGACTAAAATTATATGTAATGAAGCTTTAACTTGGCCTTTGAGTACAAGAATGATATCAGTAAGGTTGAGGCTTGGATGCTAAGAGGTCACTAGATAATCTTATATCAAAACTCAGTTTTCGGAGTATTAGTTTATCCAAGAAAACGAATAAGGATCTCAAAAACGTATACTGATTGGTCACAGGACAGCAACCAATTTCATGTTGTCTAGTCCTAAGTGGAGACCGAATTCTATCTATCATATTTGCAAAGACTCCACCAAGCTAGGAGGTTCAACATTTCAGGGCACATTGGTAGATCTCAGTTAGTTGGAGTCAGTCGGTAGGAAGCCCTAGACCTAGGCTTCGTGCTTGTTGGCACTCATCAGTAAGGCGTATCTGCAACCTTTATGGAACCGAGATTCGACCCAAGCGACATTACCACTGAGCTATTTGGCTGGTGATCGACATCAATTCTGTCGAGGTTGCAAATATGCCTGCTGATGAGTGCCAACAAACACAAAACCTAAGTCCAGGGCTTCCCGCCGAATAATAATTTTATTTAATACTGAACATACTGAAGCATATTAGAGTTCAGGACAAGCCTTTATTTTCACTCTAAAAGGGATGAAAGCGTGATGGGCAATAAATTAAAACCTAAGGCATAAGTTTCGAAGAGTTGGGTTTTGCTTGGCATTGACCAACACAGTTTTGTAAAAAAAACAGTAGTTTAATGAATCATGAAAAATCAGACAAACTGAGACTACCTGCCTTACTGAGCTGCTGAGGAAGATAAGAATAAAAAGTAAGTAATGAACTAGAAATAAAGTGATGAAATATAAGCTGATATGTTTTAAGCGGATCCAGTCAGTATTTATATGAAATCAAACAGGAACAGAGTTCTACATGTCCGTTCTTTCTTCGCATATTCTTTTCATATCTACGGTTTCGTAATCACTTTACTAAACATAATGTTGTTTTGAGGAAATCCTCTTCCCGAGGTTATTGATTTTGTTTCTACCCTACACGAAAGTGGCACCACTTCAGTTTACATTCCATTGATATCCAATGATCAATGCTTCTTTATACGCTCTTTGTTTCTTCTGGATAATGGAATTTATGTGCACTGTCAACTTGGGATTTAGGATTTCTAGTTTTGCCAGGTTGGCCCTCGACATTTGCAGATCCATTTCCAGAAATGGAATATTCACTTACACTGCTTAACTTATTTTGGAAAACCCGTATTTGATGAAATGTTAACAGATAACTATCCTTGTTACAATTCAATGGTTATCTTAACATTGATGGTAATAGAAAAATATAAATGAGTTGACAGACATCACTTGCATTTTATTATTCAACAAATTTTCATATCGAATCAATCCAGGTAGTATTTTTTATCTGCATAATTTTAGTTGATTAAAGATAACAATAACTTCTCTTCTCGGTTGATTGTTTTCTTCAGGTGAAATATATGAATATCTTCTAAAAAATGGTCGAATGAGTGAAGCTGATGCGCGTTCAAAATTTCGTCAGATACTATCAGCTGTGCAGTACTGTCATCGAAAGCATATTGTCCACAGAGACATGAAGGTAGGCTAAAGCATAGATCATTTTTTCATGTTGTTATCTTAAAGCATACGCCTACGCATTGAATATAGTCCTATTGTTGTAATGTTGAAATCTTATATGTATTCATATCCCAGCTTTACAATGTTACAATAAAGTGTAATTTCATGATTACTTCTGAATTAATCATCATATAAAGAGATGCAGAGATTGATTAACTGCTTTAGTCCCATTCGGAGCAGTAAGCAATTCAACTGTAAAAAGTATCAATCTTATGAGAATTATTCTTCAGAGTTGTTTGTATTTCTCCTCTAGTTAGTTGAAAATTATCGTTATGCCTTAACACTATAGTTATAATATGATGAACCGTAAAATAGAAAAAGTCGTAAGGATTGTATGAAAATCAATGGGAAATAATATTGCAAATGCATTTGAAAGACTGTGTCTTTTCTAGAAAATGCCTTCTCTTTTCAAGCAAACAGATCCTTGCTTAGCTAACTATTGTTTTTTGTCAATGAGTTAAGTGTTTTGATCCAGGGTATCACTGTGGCAACGACATTTCTTCACGCTTAGATATAATCCTAATTTACATTACTTGATTGAGAAAAAGTTGGAGCTTTAAGTGTTTGTCAGTAAATAAGCGAGTAGTCCTGAAACACACAACTACATGAAGTCAAAACCAAATAGGATCTTATCATTCTGAAAGTATTAGACATTGGGAAGCAGAAAGTCCTATTCCGGTTCCTCAGTGTAAAATCCGAATTGAGGAAACTCACTCCCATTGTATTTTCTAATGACAATTTTGAATACATACATAATTTGAATAGTTCTAATAATGCAGTTTAGGGGGGCGATTGCTGTGTAACATATAGATGTTGTATGAAATAAAACCACAATAACTGAATGACGGTTTATTAACTCAACGGAAATACAGATTGTCCTTTCAATCTATATGAAGTGCTTGTTAATTCATCCTGCTAACAACCTCAAGTGTGGACTAAGAAAATATTTTAATACTTCACAGCTTTCATCATTACTTTACCTCATTTCCTCTTTCAGTAAAAACTGCCTAAATGCATTACTATATATTTCAAACTATCTCTTCTGCTTTGAAAGTCAATGGTATCTCCTGCAGATTGATACTTTACTCGATTTAGCTATGAATACTGAAGTAACAATCTTAATGGAAAACATGATCGACGATATTTTTTAAGTAACAGCTTTGTACTCAAGTTTCACCGACGTCCGTAGATGACCTTACTTTTGCAGATGTTAGTGTTGTTGCCAAATACGATATGCATACATACTTTTTAAATATTTATGGTATAACAGACCAAACTATTCATTCATATCTTGTCTGTAGTGTTCAATGAAACAATTTTCACAGAAGAAACCTTAAAAATTCTGTCTAGAAAGCTTTTGTGTTTGGCTTAAATTTATCCCCTAATAATTGAAGTATTAAGATAAAAATTGTGCAACCCATGCGTATGCTTCAAAGAATCTTATTATACATGCCTTTTATTGACGGCATACTTCAGTTTATTTGTTTCTAGAACATCTTTATAAGTTACAGTATACTGTGTCAAGCAAATACCCTACCTAATAATTAACATACTTTGTGTACTTCAAGTCATTCCGATATCATAGTAAACTTAATAGTTTGACACATCATCCCTTTAATCGAAACAGACTTAGTTGTTCTATTCTAAAACCTACTGATTCGTGAGTAAATTACCGTTGGAGAAAGCAGAGAAGAAGAAACATCACCAAGTATAAATTCCTACACTAATCGATCCTCTTAAAAGCATATGTACTTTAAATTTACTTAGAACTTATGAAGTGTTAATGGACAAATATGAAAAATTTATTTATGCGAAATTCATAGCTTGGTGTGAGAATGAAACCTTTGGTTAAAACCTAACTGTCTAATTCCGTCTTGATTTCTAGTGGCAACCAACCTAATTAGAGCAAAATAAATGGTGTGTTTGATACGAACAGGAAAGATGTACCATGTGCACTATCGAATGAAATTAACAGAATTTGGGATCATCTACTCCACTTTTCAGTTATTTATGAACAAATTAGAGTGATCTGAGCATTAGAAGGATGTTTCACTTATTTACTTAATTTAATAATTAACGGCATACTTGGATATATTGAGAGTAGTAGAGGAAATAGTTCAAATTTCCTTATTTCCGATTGGTGGTTTGCAGCTACTCGTTATGTTCACTGGTGCCTATCATATAGTCTTCATCAACTTAGCGTGACTATCATGGTATATAACGCTGATAAGTAAATACTGTAGCAGATTTAAGTACATAAAATATTCAATGTTCGACTATATCACTGATAATTTCTTATCCATCTGCTTTCATTACATATTTTCAACAAAACTAGGCAGAAAATCTTCTACTTGACTGTCAGAATGATATTAAATTAGCTGATTTCGGTTTCGCTAATAATTTTGATCCAACATCACAACTGGATACTTTCTGTGGAAGTCCACCGTATGCTGCACCAGAACTATTAAACGGTGAAAAGTATATCGGTCCAGAGGTTGATGTCTGGGCATTAGGCGTTATCTTATATCTGTTAGTTAGTGGCTCATTACCATTTGAAGCACCAAATTTAAAGGTAAGAAGATTGTTTCAAAGTTGTTCTATGATTATATTTCTAATATTATTATCTTCATTTATTCAGCCAGCTTGAGCCATAGAAGACTGGTATACAGTGATTTTTTTCAGAAGCATTTGGATCAACCACCACCAGATTGGTGTCCAGTTTTACCATGTTGGCTATAAGTCAGTTTTTGTTTGGTTGCTTTCAACTACCTTTATAAATTGATTTCAGACCATCTAAGTGCTATAGATCAACCCATTTTTAACTAGGCCAATAATCTAATATCTCAAGGCTTCAAAATTAATGATAAAAATTTAGTCTATTTTATAGAAAGTATACTATTACAAAGAATAACTCAAATGAAGCCTACTCTTTTGCTTTCATTGCTTCAGCAAACTTAATTTGCTAGCAGCCATTAGCGTTGTACAAGTACACTATCTACTGATTGTTTCCAACAGTCCATTCATTGATTACTTCATCTATTATTTTGGCCAACTGGCGTTTTCTTGTTTGCCTGACTTATGTTGTAGTTTTAGATGATTGGAAACAATCAACAGGAAGTTCTGAATCTAGTTTCCGTGATGGTTGCATCAGATTCAGTCCTGTATGATTTCAGTCAATGCCGATTTAGGTCAGCAGCAGCATATTTAACGGTAAAACCAAGTGATGCCTGTTCGAATCTTCTAGGGACACCAGTTTCCTCGAGATTGCGGATACACCTTGCTAATAGCTGCCAACGAAGACGAAATTTAAGTCCAGGGGTTTCTGTCGATTGCCTCCAATTAATTAAAATCTATCGAAGTGCGTCGTGATATTAAATCTAATATCTTGATGGCCACACTGCAGAGTGATAGAATAATCCAGGTCAACACTCAGGGCTAAACAGCATGAAGTTAGTTACTCTTCAGTCAACAATCAACATACAGGCCATAATATATAAATTATAAACAGTAAAACCAACTACTATCTACCTCCAGCTGAATGAGAATTACAAAACAATGGATGGTTATTGCATTTAGTTACAGCTTGATTTGAGTTGTTCACCCTAGGCAGCCTCTGACTTAGCAACTTAAGAACTATAGTAGAGTATTTAGCCAACGCTTTGATCATGATTTATCTTGTTTACAGATCATCTTTATTTGAATATCAGGTTGATATTAGGTTATGTTAATATGGTCTTATTGTAAGTGCTGAAATAAAATATCTCTCTACAAAATATGTCACTAATATTCTCTATTCAGTACTAGTTCCAGTGCACGCTTATAATCCGTATCTTAGAGTCCAGGGAATTTCGAACATACACAGTTCTTCACATACAACCCAGTCTGATAGATAACTACCGAGTTTAGGAATTACAGGCTCTCTCCACTTATTTTTCAGTCACTGATCAGGTAATATGTCAACATTCCATAGTTCTAACTAAAATTCCCAGACTACCAAGCAAACCTTCTTGAAGTAACTGAAATATATTTCATCCTTCAGCATATTCATTTAGGCTTATACATATCTTCATACCTAGGTGAAGCATTTGAATTGCCGCTTTTATTATAGCAAAATGTAGAATATGCTTGAAATTTGAAAAATGGTGATGATATATTTAAACAATTTGACTGACTATCCGGGGAAAACAAAAGGTTCAATAAGTTAACTATTCAGGATAGACCTACTCACTTAATATACCACTCTAATAAATTAGGCATATAAGTGAGATTTAATGTATGACAACGCTATAGAGACCTTTTGTGTTCTACTTAACCAAGCCAGGTCAAAATACTTTCCAGAACTCAAATTTCACTCTCATTCAACTGGACAGTTTACTCATCGCATGCCTAATGTTTTCATTCACACTGTAAGACATCTTAGAATATGGCTCTGTAAGTGAGGGAAAGAAAGAGAGTACAAAGACGAATCAAAAGCTTCATTCTATGAAATGATAATCAACTCCTAACTATAGCATATACACTATAAAGTTAATATTTTTTTTAATGCAAATTATTCACTATACGACGAATAAAAGTGATACTGAAAAAATTCAATTAATCCAGGTATACCAAACGACCACATGATTCATTGGTGTGTTGCATTTCTTATTTGATGTCTCCTGATAAACATCAACATATCAGAAATCTGTGCATTAGTTTGGCTATAATTTTTATTCCTCATTGATTAATTTTAAGAAATAGTATAAACCTTTCATAGAATGTACTGCTGTATTCATGCTTTATTTCATTTGTTTTACTTCAGGAATTACATCGGCGTATTACTCACTGTGATTATCGTGTGCCATATTTTATGTCAACTAACTGTGAAAAAATTCTGAAACGTATGCTAGTGATTGATCCTATGAAACGAAGTTGTTTAGAGGTAACAGTACTAGATATATTCACTTTTTGGGAAAGAAAACATGTTTTTCATCTTGCGTAATTAGTTAATTTTCTTAGGTAATCAACTCATTTCTCAAGGTTTCATTGAACTTTTGTTACTATCTTGTGAAGGGTGATGACAGGTTGTCGTTGCCAAGATAATTCGTTTCGTCTCTGTCTCCTACCTGCAATCTGTTCTGCTTTATTTGCCGGTGTGTCATAGTAGTGTCTTTTGTCTTTCGGTTCACTCTTCTTCACTTCTTTGTCCAGTGTAGTGTTATATAGGTTGTGTTGAGTTCCTCTATTCGTTGTTCATCCTTGCACTACACTGCACTGGTTCATCTTCTACTTCACCATCTACCTCTTCCTGCTTTATTGGGTTCCATGTGTTCGTTGAGATCCATTCCTTGTCCGGTGTTGCTTCCTCTTCCTTTTTAACACACTTATCCGGGTTTCCTTACAGATATCTTCCAAAGAGTTCCAGAGTTCTTCCATACAGGTTTTTCCAGCGATATTGCTTAGTGTCTCCCTTTTTTCAGATGACAGACTGACATGAAGATGTAGTTTGTAGTTTCGTCCTTCACTTTAGTTTGTGTTCTGGGTGTTGAACGTGATCTGTTGTCGATCACCAACTTCTGTGAAGGCTTTTAACCCAATTTTGAAAGAATGTTCCTTGTACTAGATAGTGGTGTGAGTGGTGTGAACCTACATCTGCTCCTCTTCGTGATTTGATTTTGTGTTCAGTAGGCCGCGTCTCCACTTTCTTCACATTGAGATGAAGTTGATCTGATTTGTAGTGTAGTGTGTCCATCTGGTGTCTTGTGAAATCAAATCGATGTCGCTGTCTTGTGAATATCGTTGTGTTTGCACACACTGCCTCCAATCACCAACTCGTCGAATGCGCAGAATTCTGCAAACAGTTCTCCATTCGCATTCATCATTTCATTGAGTGCTTTTCGACCCATGATGAGTTCCCTTCCTGTGTTGTTCGCTCCCAGTTTGCCACTCATGTCACCCACATCACCCATTAGAGTGAACTCTGATATCGCCATCTGAGGTGGGTCTTGTCCAGTGCTGATTGCAGTTGTGTGTAGAATTCCTCGTTCTTCTCTTCATCTGCTCAATTATTTGTAGGTGCACAGCGTGGCGTTGCATGATTGTGACCTTCCTTCCTTCCTTTTGATTTGTATCCATCTTGATGTCATGATGCTGATCGTGTAGGAGATTGGTTCCCACTGCATGAGAGCCTTCGATGCTGTTGTGGACATCATGATAGCCACTCCAGAACTCTGAGTGCTCGTGGTTGTCGTTTGGGTGACAATATTGGAGTAGATTATTGATTCCTCTCCAGTTGACAGTTTGGAGAGTTCACTCCCATTCCATCTGCTTTCACAAATTCCTAACACTTCAATGCGATACCTTCTCATCTCCTTTGGAATCTGGGCAGCCTTGCTAGGTTCAAACATTGTGTGGACATTCCATGCCCCTATGTTTAATTTCTCTTCTATCGAGGGAGAGAAGAGACATTGGCCAATTGGCTTCTCGAAGTCTTTCACCAGCCGGCGTCATTTCGCCTCTCCGATTCGAGCGAGGAATAATTTTGTTTTTATTTTTTATCATATCTTTGTGCTTTGAAGTTTGTTTAGCGGTTGGATTTGTTTTATGGGGTAGGGTTGCTAGCCCTATGCCCAACCTTCCCTCTTTACCCGGGCTTAGGACCGGCTAGTAACTAGTGAACTAGTTAACCAGTCAAGGTTTTTAGATCAAAATACATATTGTTGATAAGAATGAACAAACAGAAAGTCTTTTTAAAATACCATACACAACTAGGATGATCAATTTCTCCTGGAAACCCTGTTGAAACCACAGTTACGCAGTTGAAAAACGATTCAGCTGTCAGTAATGCCGACATGGACTGTTCAGTTTGTAAATCATTTGCAAACTGATCATCCTATTTAAGGTATTGACCTAAATAAGCTAGCCAGATTCTGACTATCCGAAAAATCGGCTTTACGAGCTGCATTTGTGTGAGTACACCGTTGACGAACTTTGCCCTAAGTGAGTGAACCGGTGATCTAGTGCTTATGTCACTCTGATCTGTCTAAGGGAAACTGTATATCAGTATGACTAGTTTCTGAGTATTAATAATGCTTAGTGGTCTACTTCAAAGCAAAACACAACCACTGAACATCGTTTAATGCAAATACCAACAATTACTATTAAGCGGTAAATGCTTTTCACTCATGCACTAAATCAGATAACATTATGGTAGTACGTAGTAGTACATAGTAGTAAAGGTTATGACTCAAATTCTGTGCTTTATAACTGCTGTACTCTTTCATCCCAATGATTAGTTATATTTTTGTTGTTACTTAATTTTACTTCCAGTAAGAACTGTAGTACTGAAATCAGCATATGTTTCACATGTTATTATTTTTTTAAATAAAGGATTTAATGACCGATCCATGGATTAATATTGGATATGAAGGTGATCCATTAAGACCGTATATTGAATCCCCGGAAAATTATAACGACCCACTACGTATAGGTAAGCAGAATATATTTTGTGTCAGAAAATACTGAAAAAAGATGAACAGAGATATCATCTATAGACTAATACATTTATCATGCATTAATGAACTGGTTTCGAATGAAAGTATCAGAAACATTACTTCAGTACAAAAGGATCATATCTCGGTATGACTGTTGATAAATACAAAAAAAAAATTTAATATTTAACAAAGTTGATGATAAAATTCATTTGAAGTGATGTAGAATATTTGTACAACAAGATGTGGAAGGTTATGTGAACATGCCACCATAGCTGTCACTGTTTTCAAGCAGAACCATAAATGATATTATGGGTTCACTCTTCAATGTAGGTTATAAAGTAGTCACTTTATCCCGAATATGATGACTAGAATTTCATTGTAATCATTGTTTTTATTGACATCAGTTTGAAAAGTAGTTTCTACCAGGGCAGAATAAATTGCGAATATTCTTTTGCAATGCAAATCTAACTTAAAAATACCAAAGCTTGACAGTATTGTTTGGGAAATGAATAGTTGATAGTCATACTTTTTTAGCATCATACGTAATATGAAATTCTGTAACTTAAATAATATTAGGATCTGGTTAAAATCTAGACCAAACTGATAATTTATGACTGCCTGATTTTAAGTTACAAATGATCTAGACTCTATTTTTGACCAATCATACTTATGTGAAGTATACCTAGGCAAATTTGGACTTCAAAAATGTCATCATAAACATTCTTTGATGTCATGTGAGAATTACAAACAAAGCTTTTGTTATCTTTCAAAAAGTTCGCTAATTATTATGATATCAGGTGATGTTTTTACTTGATTTCACATAAATGACATGTTTTAAATCTGTTACATTTTCAAGTGGGCTACAACAAGATCATGAGCTGTCATATGTTTGGCACTACGTTACTAGAATCGGTCGAATAATGAATGAGGATGTATAATAGTAGCATACTTCGATCAGCATAGTTGTATAAGTTCATTGTTCACATGTTCAACTTCAGGACAGTTACTCAATGATGGCTATATCGTGAACTGACAGAAGTAGAAAATGTGAAACATTGGGTTCCAACCCAGTGGCTCAATAGTAATGTGTTGGGTTCGATCCCTGGCGAGGTCATGCGTAGGTACTGTTGGGGAGTCCCACGCTACGACGAAACAGCTGTTTGGTGCTCCCAGTTTCCTAATGTTTCTCTGACTGATGTCAGTTCATGATGAATACCAACCGAAAAACATTGTTTTTTTGAGGTTAATGCGGTTTTTATTTTTCAGGTAGTATTCGTCATGCACCACAACCAACTGGAAGACCACCGAAAACCTGAGAGCAGTGGACAGCTGTTTCGCCCTAGTGTGCGACTCCTTAGCAGTAAGCACCCGTGACCTTGCTAGAGATCCAACTGAGGACCCTTAGGTTTCACGGCAAAGCTTTGAAGATTTATTCACAGGATCGAAGTTCAGTGGCCTACAGTTTCCACTTCTATCAGTTCGCGATATAGCTTGACTATCAAATAAGGTCTTCCCCATTAGCCTCAGAAATACATTGCTATACGTTGCTCATTAGTGACATGCTTTGAGATTGATATGCCGAGGTTTTAGTGATCAGCCGTGATCTGTGGGGTTAACCAGTCGAAAAAAAGAGCATGTCAGCTAAAGACCTTGGATGATAGTAGCGCTATATTGTGAATAGGAGTAGGAAATTGCAAACCGTTGAACTCTGACCCTATCGTTGAATCGTCAACGCTTTTGCCGTGAAACCAGAAGGTTATGAGTTCAACTCCAGGTGCAGTTGTGGGTGCCAAGTCCTGAGAAGCCCCACACTAGGGCGAAACAGCTGTCCACTACTCCCAGTTTTTCAGTAGTTCTCCAGTTGATGTTAGTGTGTGAAGAATGCTACATTAAAAACTTACTATTAGTTCTTGTATATTTATTCATTGATTTCATTTGTCTTCAACTTTGTCGTATCAATATTATCTTTCTTTAAAGTTGATAATTTTTTACATAACTGATTAAAGTACTCAACTATTTCGTATAATTTGCTATTCAAACTGTCTTAGTCTATGAACAGCTGATGACAAACCATGAAATGAAAAGGATTCATGGTATTCTGCTAAAACTGCTATTCTTGCTTTGTTTAGAGAAGAAACAATCGTCTTTAAGCAGGGAAAACAGACCAAAATAAGTGGAAAACCTGAAAAATCTGCTGGTTCGGGTTGGATACTACCTAAAAGATTGGAATTTGCTTAGGTATTAGGGTGTATTTAATGGTTACTAGGCTTTAACTCACATGGGATTTCCGGTTCCATATCTCCCAGACTGCTGATATCTGTTGGCAGTGCATCACACTCAGGTGCTCACTATATATCAAATAATGCAAGAATAAAAGGACTACAGACTATTTACCAATCTTCCTCAATTGTATATATTGTAAGGATTTGTTAGTCGTTTATTTTTGTGAAGCGGATAAGATTTTCTACTGTTGATTTCATGGCTACATCAGTGAATCTGCATTGGTATTACAGATCTATTCTACACATTCCCCCAGCATTGCCATTTGTTTACAAATTGTTATCACCTAATAAAATATAGCAATGAATTCCAGTTTCAATAAGAGTATCTATACTCCGCTACATAGAGTACACTTAAATGATACACTTTAAATAAGATTAAGTATGCATTTCACTATCACATACCATCAGCCATAATCGATTCAAAAAATGCATACGCACGACACAAAATACAAATAAAAACTCACTTCAATTTCAATAGTGATTGAGATCAAAGAAAGGAGTACGAAGTCGGTGAGTTCACTTCGGTCCACTAACATCCATAGTTAAGTGAAATCTTATTTATGCTGGAACTTGAAGTTTCCAAAATTCATCTACTAAATAGAGTTGTTTTGATATCTAAGATTTTTAGCCTCATCTAGCTTCACTGTATAAAGTGTATTTTTACTTGTGTAGTCCTGGTGTAGTATATAAGAACAAATATTTTGTATGTTTCCTCAACGTTTCGATCTTGCTAGGAAGATCCTTTTCAAGAGTATGAATCTGACATTAAGTTTTCAGGATAACATTCAAGTTTTGGTACAGAAAGTGGGGACCTTTACAATCATTCAATTACATAGTGATATGGAGCAAAGATCGATGTGTAATACAGGTGACTGAATAAGCAACTCGATCAAAGAGGTTTTCGGTTGTGCGAGTAAGGTGGAACAAAAATAGGGTGGGGAAATTTTTTAGTTCGTCTATGAAAAGTACAATGGGGTTGTGAGACATCAAGGGTGAGAAAGAATAAATTACTGGTTTGGAAGGATGAATATTTGAAAATGAGACAATATATCTTAAATAAGTAATAATAATAATAACCATAAATGTACTTTTGATAACACTTGAAGTATGAGTGATAACAAAATGGATTATGTTATGGTTCATCGAATGTATACGACTCAGAAAGGAGTGTAAAATTGATGAAAGTAGTAGATCAATAAGGTGTATGTAATAGGACTAGACAATCAACCTTCTCTTCAGATATTATTTACAACTGCCTAGGAGAGTCTTAATGTTTGCCATTGCGTTACATGTAAATGTAACTACAGCCTTTCCTGAATGCATCGCTTACTACTTTACTCAGTATTCTGTTTGATTCTCTTAACTATATCTTACTTAAATATCCCACTTGACGCTGTTCTCATGGCAAGCATTATAATCTGTTTTTTTCTTCAAATAGTCGTATAAAACGCTATTACACATCTGAGTTTTCCAACAATCAAAGTATTGCAGGCTTGCTCATCTGACGTTGTTTTCAGTAAATTTCTAAATGAGACCGAATTGTAGCATGGCAATACAGAATACCATGTTTCAGTACTGAAAGTAAGTCGGTAGTAGGCTATAGACATAGGACTCATGCTTACTGGTGGCATACGTCAACGAGGTGCACTTGCAAACTTGAAATAATGTCTTACGTTTACTCATACGATATCTGATGGATAATACAGTCAGCTAACAACTGAGTGTTCCCTTTGAATAAACACATTTCATTCATCTACCTTTTCTCAGCTCTAATGACCGAAATAGGCTTCAAAAATGACGAGTTACGAGAAACATTTGAAAAGCACCTATTTAACAATGTAAGAGCAACGTATCTCTTGTTGGGTGATAAAGAAACACAGCACAGAATTGCAGAAAAGTTGATTTCCATCATGACTATGTCACTAATCAATAATTCAAGGCCAGAAGAAGATGTTCAGAATAAAGATGGCAAACAAGCAGTTCAGCAATGTGAGTAAATTGTGTTATACCTCTTTAGGAAATAGATTTCCGTCATTGTTAAGTGCAGTTGTTATATATACGTTAAATAGTGCGACTAAATGAATGCCATTGTTTTGAAACATCTTATGTACATACTTTAACGCATCCTCACCAAAAAATACTGAATCATTGAGAAAACTAAGGCATAGAGTTCATGTGAATCATTGTATAAGGTATATTTTATCTGTGTAATCTCGATGTAGTATATTAGAAAAAACGAAAAATCAATAAGCATCTAAATAAACCGCGTTTATATTGGGCTGGGCAATAGCTATGGGAATTAAGATATGGAAATAAGGATAAACCGCATCTGCAACGATAACACAAAGGACGACAACACTGATACAGAATGGCTACCCTTTGAAATTTATCGACCGGTGAAAAGTTATGTACCATTGAAAAGTACACAGTGTTCTGTTGCTAAGACAAATGTCTATATCTCATTAACATTTAGAGGTGATTCACACAGCTTTGTTGTGGGGAAAAGACTTAGATCGGCCATCTGTAAAACATATTACTCAGCCAAAATCGTCACTGTAGAGAAGACAAAGGAAAATAAATAGTTTGCATCATTTCTCAGCGTTTTGATCCTGCTAGGATGACCCCTTACAATAGTATAAATATGACACTAAGCTTTCAGATAAATATTCAAGTTTGATACAGAAAGTCATCTTTTCAATCATTCAATTAGATTATCCTAAAGAACAAAAATCACTATATTTAGGTGAGTGGTATCAACACATGGGTCAATGAAGATTATTCAAGTTTTTCAAGTTAAGCAGTACAAAAATAGGACGAAGAATTGTCATTAACCATGAAATATATATTGGAGTGAAGAGTTTTCAGAGGGGAAGAGAGATAAAAGTAAATTACTAGTTAGGAAACGTGAATATACATGGTATAAATCATATGGAGTAGTGTGAAATTAAGTTGTGTTCAGGTTTCTATTTATCTATTATTTGGAACTTTAGGATTTGTCCTGTTGCGAACTTGACAGACGCAAAGACCAATCACTAATCACTCGGACTTGTTATATACCCACGAGTACGAGATCAAGGAAGAACACGATAGCGTAGTCGGATGGAATAGTATATTTGGATGGTTGTGCCAAAATATCGATGTGTTCCAACTAACTGGCTAAAGAGTCGAATACGAACAGTGCAACGTAACACGACAGCGTGCCAAATGGCGAGGATGCTTGACCGGGTGCCTTCAGCTTAGCGAGTCCAGTCAAACTATCAAGGTCAGCATCAATTTCGAAAGTCGTCAAACCCTAGGCTATGGATTTTGGGGAAGTGTGTGACGCTACAGACCTTTCTATACGAGCTACTTATGTTTCCCAGTTCGTCTTTTCTGTTGACCGTAGAACAGTACGATTAGATATGCAAAGCTTCTGTAATGGCCCTCTTATTATGAGAAAGGAGATTCTTTTGCAAGACTTTTGCCTTTTCAAACTATATTTCATGACCTAAATATAAGGCATGAGCTGATATGGCAGAGTCGCCTTCGGGTTTTTCCAATTCGAAAGAAATTTTTGGTTTCTGCATGCAACTTCAACCGTGTTCGGTTCAATGTCTTAGTACTTGATGTGATATCTTTCCAGTGTATCTAGTATCACATTCACTGCATTCTAACTTACAGACACATTTCTGTTTTTCCAGACGAGGAATCGACTCTTTTAATTTGGACAAATGTGAGTGTAGAGTATTCGTAACTTTCAAGAGTATGCTGATGCTCTTGCTGCTTAGGATATGTCTAATTTTTTCTGATGTAGGTGTCCAATAAAGAAGTACTGCAGTACTGTATCTCGACGATCTGTTATTTTCGCACTTCTTCCGGAAAACTTCTTCCATCATATGCATTACAAATGAACATCTTTCAATAAACCGAAATTATTTATTCCTGTAGTAGAAGTTAACGTAGTTGGTAATACAGATACAAATCAAACTTATTTTCGATAATACCTTAGCGTAAATCAGATAACAGTGATGGTACAGTAATTAGTGTACATGACTTTTTATACTCTGGGATGAATCTATAACTCAGATAAGGGTTAAATTTATGCTTTTCAACTTGCAGACATTGAACTGAACAGTTGAAAAGTATTTTGCCTGGTATGAATTTTTAGGTTAGTTGTTTCATCCTGAGAATGGGCATTGCTGTACAAGGCTAAAAGACTCCATAATGGGACTATATAGTAACTCTGAAATCACTAGTTTTCTCACAGTTTCTTGATTAATTGAATTTTTGGTAGAGGCCATGATGAAATTAATCATTCTTGCTCTGTCTATTTGAAGCATTAGTTTTGTTTTTGGGGTGTTCTAGTAATAATAATAATAATTCAAACAACTTTTTTAGGTCTATTCTTTTTCTGAATATTTTTCATTAGCGTCTGTCTTAGAAATTGATGAGAAACCGGATGCTAAATCAGAACCTATAACCAAAGATGCAACTTCAGTGCCCACCTCTACTTCAAATGTTGAAGAGTGAGCTTACATTTTCACTTGTTTTATCGTAATTCTTAAATATGTCACAGTAGTTTGTTACTTTGTGCATATTGTATGCAAGAATACTGACCGTTGTTATACCTTTCATCTGTTCACCTATCAATGTAAAATATTTCCTGGGCTTTTTAGCAAACAAGATCTTATTCATCCTTAAGCTGTCTGAGAAGTTCTTTTTTTATCTTCTCATAATTTCACTAGTGTTTTCGCTTTTAACGAAAGGCCGCTTTATAAACCATAATATTAGGATTATGTTAACTTTAGTTGTGTGTTTTCGAATTCACATGTATCCGCAAAACAAAAAAACATTGGAAAAATACAAAGAAGGGCCTACTTCAGATGTTATGGGGATTTTCCAAAACTCCTACCACAAAAAGGATCCAGTAACCTCAGCAGTGTAACTGTTAGAGACCTGGCAGACAAAAGATAGCAGGTGGATAACGTGAAAGTCTGAGAAATTGGCTAGAAACAGTCAAAATCTTAAGCCACCATATCTCGTTTAGTCTATATGCATCTAAAGCTTGAAAGCAGATTTATGCTTTGAAAAAAAACTGTTGTCAACCTTCCATCAACATTGTAATTCCTGTAAAACCTCTTCCCTTATTTAACTGCATCGTCTTTTATTGTCTCTACTATTATCAACAAACTTTTAACTCACACTGGATTTCAATTTTATTATGCTAAGCTAACCTCATCATGCTTTACATATTCAGTTTCTGACTAAACAGATGAGGATTCAAGGTCATTACATACCTGAATGTAATATTGTAGTGGGCATCGCTGATAAGAATGGATAAAAGTAGAATATGTTGAGAGGGTGGCAGAAATCATAGGGAATTACCAACAATGGGTAAGGATTCTGCCTACAGCAACGCGATGGATAACGCAGGCGTATTACAGTGGATGTTGCTGATAAGAATGTATGAAGAGCAAATCAAGATAGAAGCAGAAGAGGAAACGAAGCACATTTACCTCCGCTGCCGCTACTTCTGTGCCCATTAGCTGTCTGGTCACCTCAGCCATCTCACTAATGTCCATGGGTTGGGCTGTGTTGACTAGTCGTAAATGCTAATCGATGGCATTCGGGACACTTTCGGTGAACTGTGCAGACGGCAACTGTTCTTGGGATTCCTCATCCAATGTGGGAAGTGCTCGTAGAAGTAGTTTGGTCAACTTCACAGCCAACACCAGCGGATCTTCGTCTACTCCCAGTTTCGTGCTCCGGAACTACTGCATCGCCAGCTCCCTGTCCGCTGGGCTGTCAAACTCTGCCTCAAGCGTCCAACCATTCTCCGCCAAGTCTCCTTCCCATCATCAAGTTCCACGCCGTCATATGCTGCTTTTCTTTTACCTTTCAGCAACGTGCCTAGCACCACGACCTTTGCCCCTGGATCTCGGACCCCCATCAGCGCCGCGACCGACTCGAAGTTCCTGAGGAAGACCTTGGTGTCTCCATCCTCGAACTCTGCAGTCCATGAAATCTTCATCACATCCAGAGGCAGCGACACCAATTGAAGAAACAAGAAGACGACACGGAAGAAAGAATGTTTATTATCAACGATTGGGACGGTATTCGTTACATATGGTACACTAAACCCGTCATTTGCAAAATGTGCTTCATTTCCTCTTCTGCTTCTATCTTGATTTGCTCTTCATACATTCTTATCAGCAACATCCACTGTAATACGCCTGCGTTATCCATCGCGTTGCTGTAGGCAGAATCCTTACCCATTGTTGGTAATTCCCTATGATTTCTGCCACCCTCTCAACATATTCTACTTTTATCCATTCTTATCAGCGACGCCCAAAACAATATGTTTTTCTGGAGTGATATTTACTGTTAAAGCACTATAAGTACAAGAAAAGTTGAATTGGTTGAATAACCTGATTGATGAGTCATTCACAAGATATTACAGTAGTTTATGAGCAAACAGTGTCCTCATTAATTGGAATAATTTACATGATATGCTAACCAGTATTTTATTTATCCTCTCCTACTTTCGAAATATAGTGATGCTTACTGCAGCTACTTGATCAGATGTAAACGAAGAAAGTGGAACATAGAAATAAATAACTGAGAGTGTTATGACCTCCTCAACAGCATCAATAACTATTTGAACTATAAACAGTGAGTGGAAAGTGTATGACTGACTCTGTGCTGACCGCTGCATTAAAAAACAGTATCTAAGTAGTAGAATGTTAAGTAAATGTTAGGTAAAAACCATCTGTTGTCTGTTCAGTATGGCCCTGAAGGTAAGGTATGCTGATAACTCAAACGGTGTTCCACTAGATAACACCATTCTTAAGGTTCTCAAGGCATGTATTAAAACGATAATAGTTTATGTGTATTCAAGTGCAGTTTTCGGTAAGCAAAAATAATCTAAAATATAAAAGTATATATGCGTATCAACGAAAAAGTGAACGAATACCAAAGAAATTCTAAACCTGTAAAGAGTGAGGATAACCATACGAATAATAAGGAAGTCTAAAATTAAAAGATTCCTAGGAACAACCTAGCTAAATTGGGAATATAAAAGACTGGTATATATCGCTGGTCTATTCATTACGTAAGAAGAAGTTTTCTTATGACAGTCACAGAGGAATCAGGCTGACTATGAAAATATGTAAAGTCATAGGGTTCATAGTCGTCAAATACCTAACAGGGGCGTGATAAAAATATACTCGGAAAACCAGGAATTTTGAAATCTGTACCAGGATGTATCGAACACGCACTCACCCTTTGCAAAGCTTTATAACACAGCCATACATAATGGTACCCGAAAATTCCCATATTTCTTGACCCAAAGGCGATATTCCCCTCCACTAGTCATGAGGTATTGAGGTAGTGTCTATCTGTGAGGCAAGTGCGAAGTAGATACCAAGCAAGTATATTATGCTAACGAAGGCTTTCTACCTACACTCACGCATCCATATAAAGAAAGTTATCTTTTGAAGAAACCACGATCATTTGTGTTCACCAAAGATGTTCTATATTACCATTCTTATTTAAATTTTTTATGGATATGCTGGGGGGTATAATGCCATGTGCCTTCGACTTCTCAAGCACTGACTTATTCTCGAGAGGGCACCTGGCCAACTTAGAGAATGTAGACAATGAGGTCCTATTCAGTGAAGGTGTAAATAAAATGGAAGGTCTTCTGGGCTCATTAAATAGAAATCTGAGTGCGTTTGAAGTATGTTTCGCAACTGCCAAATGTCAGACAGTGCTTCCAAACCAGTCTACGCTGAGTCTAATTTTATTGGTAGGGAATAAATAGGTTAAAGGCACTGGCCACTTCATGGAATTGGAGATTTGCGCCAGCCTTGATGCGGTAGTTGTTGATGCGACTTCAACATTGGTACAAAAGACCTGTTCGGCATTCGTCAAACTGCCCCATCTCTAGTGCCAGTAAGGCATACTAACACCCATCCAAGTACGCTTTTAAACAGTTTAATCTCTTCTATCTTATGGCTGAGAAATAGTTGTTGAAAGTAGAAGATATGAAGAGGTTACAAGTTTCTGATCATGGGTGAGTCGATATCATTGTTTGCGTGTAGTGGAATCGCCATGTGAACTGTTTCAAGGTTAGGTGTAGAGTACTAGGCTTGGAAGGCATGTCGGTCAATATAGTTATGGTCCATCATCAACTAAGACTGCTTGGACGTGTGTTGCGCATACTGAGCTACTGCCTACTTCAACCTGCAATATTAGCAAACCATGCAAAACTAAAACGTGACACCAGTTCATAAATTTTTCGACTTCTGGTTTGAGTCATTTAAGAAGATGTTGATACCTTGGCTAAGTAAGGTCTTGGAGATGTCAAAAATCAATAGCTGGAGACTTGGTAATGTGCCTCGAAATCCGTTACAATGGTTTATATGTGTATGTCCTTTGTGATCTTCAGTCCTCAATATTTTTATTAACCTTTTTCTGTGTTGTGCCCAATCGCATGTACCTCTTTTCCTTTTTATATTACCCCTTTCAATATCCGCTTCTTCTTATGCTCTTGTGAAGTGTAGCGACTTGAACCTAAGCACTCCTATGCTACTTCTATGTTGATTCATCTTTCAGAATTTCAGGGCAGAGGAAGGCAGTGATAATAGTTGATAGAGTCTTCTTAAAGACATGATTCCAGCTTTTTGATTCAGAATGTCATAAGTTTTGACGTTTAGCGTATTTGGAGCTTCGTATCTTTAATAAGTTAATACAAATTCTGTATATAATTGGAAATTACTGCTTAATATCAGCATTAAAGTTTGTTCGGACTATATGTAACGATATTGTATGTTTCATATTTTTAGTGCACATCCACTTGTTTACGCTAAACAGTGTTTTCATGCAGGAAAATTCATTTATCTTCATATTTATAAACACAGAAAACAAAAATGGTTTCCGTTTTTCTTGTTATAGTAAACCAGTTGATCAACCTGGATCAGATCATCAAAATGATTCACCCATTGCATCTGATGCGAATTCGCGTGAAACTGTAGCACCGACAACAAAATATCTTGATTCGAAAGGTGCTTCAGATTCTAGTTCATGTCCATTAGAGACTGCAAATACAGAATGTGAGCGTATGAATGAGCGCAGTTGCAAAACTTCAAACGGTCTACGTCGTATACATGCTAGCTCTTTATATGAGAATACAGAAGGAAATGAAAATGAAAAAGTGATTATATGTAAGACAGAGAATGATGGGGGAAATGGAACAAGAGATGCAGAATTTGTAAACCAATTCAAGTAAGACATGCATGAGTGTATATCACTTAATTTTATACACTATACAAATAAGTTTCTCAACCTACATTGATAGCATTTCAACAACTGGTGAGAGGTAGAGACAAACAGACAAACTAACGTGGAATCTCGCACACAACTGCATCAGTTCAAGTTGCCAAATTTCACAGTAGTATTAAAAGAAGAAGTGAATTGTAAGGACTGTTATCATTGAAGGCAAAGGTGTATGGAGGGAGAGAAAAATTTAGAATTTAGGTTAGTCAAAACCTTCAAGATTTAGAGGACATCAATGAATGAATAAATCTGTACTATTGTGGCGAATTTCCAGCCATTTCAACAAAAGTCCTCAGCCAAAGATTCCTATGGTCTCAGACACCGAGGTTTTTGTGACGATAAATCATGAACATAATATTCACTAAGCTTAGGGATTCTCATTTCTCGACCATTGATTCAAATAGTAACGAATATTCACTATGACTGAAGTAGTTAAGGGTTATTACCCCAACTTCAGTTGGGAAAGTTTTATTAGAGTGATAAACTCAGAAGCAAGACTGAGTACTTGTTGGACCTGTGGCCTACTGGTTTAGGTAGCTGACTTTCAACCAATGGGCTAAGGATTCTTACACTGCTCCATCTAACGAGGTTTGAGGAGTCAAGTAGCATCATTAGTCCTTACACAATGGATATGGTTCATTGCCTACTGTGCGGGCGTACAGATGGTTGCCGAGTTCACTTCGACTTTCGACACTACATGACAGTTGGTCGGATGAGTTATTTGTGTAGTCTCTAACAGGGAAAATTATCGTTAGTGAGGTCACGAAAATGAATGTTATAGCCCTTAATATGCTCAATAACCAGACGTGTAAAATTCTAGGTAAGTATGATGATACTGTTGGGGATGTTAGGTCCACAAAAATGAACCCCCTATGCCTAAATTCATAGATCTTACCTCGTAAAAAAATCTTTCCCACATCTCTTACATCTGAATTCACCACTTTTAATGATGTTATTTTCCCATTGGTTGTTCTGTTTTGAGTGTGCTAATTTGTCCTTTCGCGTACAAGCCATTCCCACTGCACATAAACCCATGAATTGTGCCCTTATTTTCATACTCTTCCGACTGAATATATAATAATAATAATAATAATAATAATAATAATAATAATAATAATAATAATAATGGTTTTATTCTAAAAGGTATTTCAGGAATCCTCTACAGAATTTTCAGCGCGTCATATAGCATCAGATGGATAAAGACAGTGTATATGCATACATAGCAAAATGAAATAAGTAGAAATTACATGAAGAAAAGATAAAAATATTCGCTCTATCTACAACTTTCTTCAAAATGCACTGTCAATTTAGGTAGACAATCACATTGGCAATTAGATTCATAATGCGTAATAAGTAACACGCTCATCTTCATTTAGTTTACTTTCAAAAACAGAAGTTGATTAAGTAATTCATTTCTAATACTTTTTTATCACACAGCAGATGAGCCAAATAGGGTATTGTAGAGTTCTTATATTTTGTAGTACGTGCAAAAAGTCTTATGTACTCGCCCCTCGTCATTCCAGATGGCCGAAATGCAGAGAGCTTTGGGGGAAGAGGATGTTGGTCATCTGATAAAATAACTCCTGCCAGATGTTTACATGAGTTAATACGTTTGTCCGCAACAGTTTTAACCAGAAGGTAAAGGGGTACACCACTAGTTCTGCTGACAATCTTCAAAGCTCTACGCAATATAGCAAAGCCTTTTTTCAGCAACCCAAGGAAAAATAAAGGAGAGCAATAGAGGAGGACAGGCAAGATGCAGGAGTTTATAAAACACAAGAAGAAAAACTGAGTAATACCAGATACTCTCAGATGCCTAATATAGAAAGTTAGGCGGAAAATTCTTTTCGAAATTAGTGAGACATAGGAAGGGTTCAGGGACTTGAGACATTTGAAAACGTCATTAGCGGTGAACTCTGGACAACGTTCTTCATTGAACGTGGGTAGACAAAGTGAGATCGAATAAGTGGGTTGGCGTATAAGCGATTTATTCAAGGAATAGATATCTACATGTGCTCGTTTACTAAGGTGTTTACTACCAGTGAGGTCTTTAAAAAGTTTCCACATTCTGGAAGAGCCTTTGCGTGACAAAAGTTTCTGGTTGTATAGTAGACTCAGACGTTTAATTTCCAACCTAATTAAATCGTTTAGTCGACGAGCAACTTATATAGTCTTTCTTTTTCTCTTCTTAGTTTCTTAAGCTGGGGAGAAGATATACGGTCGAAGCGTAGAAAAAGCTTTTTACTGTAGCAACATATATGTAGGCAGAACTTGAGAGAGCATGTTACACCATGAATAGTATCGTTCAAAACATAGCTATCAAATATGTTCCAGTCTCTACATGGTAGCATTTCTCTTAGATTAAGTATGTCACTGAGTGAATAGTTTCTATGTACAATCTTCTTATATGTGAGAGCCGTTTTGTGTAGTTTGCCACATATTTTGGGCAAAACACATAATGCAATAATCTGAGCTGTGCAGTGGGGATTTCTTTCGAGTTTCGTATATATCAGTATCATTGACGAATACCAAGTCTAATGTTGCATCCTGACGTGTTGTGAAGTTAACATTGTTTTGATGACCAATAGTTTTGAGGAAGTTTTGGTCACAAGCACTGAAATCGCCAGATATTATCGACAGGGAACCACAGAGTATGGGGGACCGTGAATTCTGTGAACATATCAGAGAAATTGGATAGTTGGGAGAAACTTCAGCCAGGCGTCACATAAATATTTGTTATATAAATAAAGCGATATTTGTTTAAATGTTTTGGGCGGTATTTTACAGTGATGCAATCTATGTAGTCATTTGAGAATCTGAAACATATGTAACTCTGAATGCATCAATGGGTATTTATGAAGATAGCTACTCCACCTCTACTTTTCTTAGCAGGGCTACATCGATCTTGACGGAAAATTTTGAAATCATTCAGGATTTCTACCATGTAACTATAGAAGTAATATCATAATATCTTCCAAGTATTTAAACAACAGTTTATTTCGATAAACTGAAACAAAGCGCTACTTTTATAATTTATCTTTTTTTCATGCAAAATTCAGGAATATGAATTCATATCTTCCAAACCGGTTAAAACGTCATTTCATTATTGATAGAGCACACACAGCGATTCCTGATTCATCAGAATGTCGTGTAAAACAGAATCTAATTCATACAACTGATCAATTACCTGAATGGGAAAACTTACCATATGATCAGACGGGTAGAGCAACTGTGCCAGTTATAATATATCAAGAGGAAAGTCCGTACTTCAATGAAAATACAACAGAAAGTAGTAATAACAATAATGATCTTAATAATTGTGAAGAAGAAATTCTAAAGCCCTGCAATTCTCAGTGTGCCCGATGGCCAAGGGTGAAGTACCAAGAAAGTAATTCAAATTCAGCTACACATCAATCAATATCGCATAATTCAGATCTTTTAACACGACAACAACAAGAAACCGGTCAAGATCATCATCAACAATCAGGAAGTATTCAAGTGAATTCCAGTAATCATAATGAACCGAAAAGTGTTGCGAAAACAAACTCAAAAATTATATTTTTTCAAAAGGAAGGGAAACAAATATATTATCGGTCACCGGCATCTAAAACTATATCACCTGGTAAGTTTCCTCGCAGAATTAATTTAACGCGTCAGTTGATCAATTCAAACAATAATGAAAAGGGCAATCAATCAAATGAAAGTCAACAGAGTAAAATGATCACAGAACATGTAACCAATCACGATAAAGTTTTATCTTATCAAAATCAAGCAATAAAATCATGTGAATATAATAAATCATGTCAAACAGCTCAGAATGGTTATGATAACAGTAATTACTTGAACAATGATCATGAAATTAATAAATTGGGGCCATCACAAACGAATTCGAGCAGATCAGGGAAAAATAACAATGTATTCAGAAGGAAATCAGAAGTATACATCTGTAGAATCGGAGATTTGACAGAAATAAAACCCTCTGAAAACAGTGGAAACGTCCCTAACAGAAATTCATATTACGAGTAAGTTGTACATATCTAAGGTTAGTTTTCTAAACTTTTCTTTCAATAACTAGAAATCTTCATATAGTCACTGAAAAACAAATAAGAGGTTACAGAGGAAATATGATTATCACTTCGATGATTCATTTTCACAGCGGTGCATATGTAAATATGTAAGATGATCGAATGCTGTAGACAATTTCCCCATTCAAAGGTAAAACTTAATCGATCAGGTGATGAAGGGAGTCAAATGAGATTGAGGGGACAGACACGACAAACCCTCTCAACATATCCTACTTAAATTCATTCTTATCAGCAACGCCCACTACAATATTACGTATTACAAGATATAATCTCAATAGTTTTTATACAATGAAGAGTAAGACTTTGTATCTGGTAGAAATAAATAAATAAACATGTAATTAAATAAGTAAATGAAATACAAAACAAAATATAATTAATGGTTTACAGTACCTGATTAAGACCACGGTAAAGAGGGTGTTTGTACGTGTTGCTTTTGAATACACAATTGAGGTTAGAAGCTGTGAACTGCCAAAACTTCGGCTTTACATTAGTGTGCAATCCTCAACCCATTTGAACGGTTGGGTCGAACTTTGTTCGCTGAGACTTTCGTTTACCGTGGTCTATATAGCTGACTTTCAACCAATGGGTCACAGGTACCTACACTACTCCATCTAACGAGGTTTGTAAAGCCAGGTAGTATCATTAGCCCTCATACAATAGGCGTGGCTCATTGCTTACTGGATGAATGTACACAAGGTTGCTGAGTGCATTTCGAATTCATTACGCATACTTATATTGATCTAATCTATCAAGTATTTAAAAGCATGAGAAATCTAATGGTTAGATCACCAAGATAACCAAGTAAAATAGGTGTACAGACACAGCACACCTACAACACAACATCAAAAACTACTAAAGACAATTTACTATGCCATAAATAGAAACCCAGCCAGTAGCAGCTAACTTAACATGGTGGTCCGGTTTATAGATCGCAAAGACTCAACGAGTCATGCTGGTGAAACATTTTTTCACTGGAGGTCCTACCATACCGGAAACGTCTGTTGGGTAGTAGTTGGGAAAAAAGCGGTTAGTATTACAGTGTAAACAGCCGTACTATGATTGATTCCAGAGACGTAGACGCACTGGTGGTTGGACGGTGATGCGATAGCAGTAAGGTGTTTCCCATGGACGATCAGTGGTATTATGCTGATGCTGCATTCCCCTATAAAAACACGAGGTTAGAAAAAGGCATTCCCAAAAGTACTAGACTCCTTCCTACCCTGCATTCCTCGTATGCCAACAATATCCCTACCTGGCTGGATTTAATACAGCCAAGGTACATTTCAAACAGTTAGTTGAACACATTAATAAGATTCAGAGTCTCCTGAACACCTTGAGTGCTAACTTGAGAAGATTTGGCATAGGTTCCTCAGTGGTTTAAGGTGATGATCATCAACCAATGAGCCAGGGGTTTGGGCCACGCTCCACCTACGAAGGTCTGGGCAGTTAGGTAGTAAGTATCCTTAGCCCTCATAAAATAAGTGTGGTTCACTACCTACTGCATGGATGTGCACAAGTGCTGAGTGCAAACTGTTTCTCCAGGATTGGTCTTCTTTGGTGCCTCGCCTAACACTAGAGTGGATTGGTTGAGTACGTCTACCACTGCAAGTACTTTGGAGGTCAAATCAACAGTATTTTTTCAGTGAACGACAAAATTTCTGAACGCATGCAAAAAGCTCGATTGGTTTTGCCAACTTATGCCAATTTGCATCACTTCGATATCCGATCTCCCATTTATTAACAAGTGTACTATGGAGCAGCTTTCCCTGTTCTACTCTGTGGATGTGAAACAGGGCAACTAAGCGGAGGAGCATGAGAAGGCTTCAAGTGCCGGACCACCGTTTCATACATAACGTCGACCATAAGTTATGAAACCATGACGTTAATAACACAGAAGTTGGGCGCATAGCCTTAGGTAAAACAGATGAGTCAGTTGACTTGATTGTTAACCACCATAGACTCAGATGGTTGGGACATTTGTTATGCATATGCAATGTTAGCTGAAGTAAGTTTAGTTTGGGATGAAGTTCAAGGTTATCATATTAAAAATGTCAACAACTCATGAAGTCTCTTACTGTTGGTCTGACCCGTTTACGGAAATGTAGACTTCCCGGCTTGGTCGACTTGACAACCCAAATCGCTGGTTTGAGACAATGATATAGCTGAGTCGAGCTCAGTGGCATGGGTACATTTTTCATCATCAATAGCGCTTATTAAAAAAACACTAAATTTCACCTAGTTCAATAGTTTGGACTAATAGTTTTGTCCAGAATGACAATGGCAGCTTCAATATTAAAACCGTAAGGTCAGAGAACGTAACAACATCAAAATACCTTTATACCCTTATAGATGATTACATAATTCATTTCTGTCTACAAAATTAATTTTTGACTCCATTCTCAGAAACTGTGTTCATGACGTAGAGTCAACTTTCTTATCAACAGTAAACTCCAATAATAATGAATAATAATTATATTTCCTTGTCTTTTAGTGAATAATAAAAGAGTAAATATTTCTTTTTAGAAACTGTTCACAGAGCTTTGAGAAACAGACTCAGCATAACAAAAAACCCTTGTTATCGTCAGTTTGTGTATTCAAAGAAGAAATTAGCCAAACAGAAATACCTGAAAAAGCATTAGTTTGGATGCCAAATAAAAATCCAGTTAATCGTGAAGTAACAGCTCGAAAATCTGCTATGAAACCTCAAGATCTGAGATCAAATATACATTATCAAGAATCAGGGAATAATGTAATTGGTAAGTTTAAATTTAATTTAGAAATGCATACTTTGTGAAAGTCTTCTTAAAATGATACCATTGAAATAAACTTTACAAGAACACTATGAATATTTCCACTTAGTTTTATCATTCCTCATAAGCTGCACATAATGTCATGTGAATAGACATTAAAATATTAGGTAAAGATAATGTAGACATCTTTGCAGCTAATCATAATATTTCGGAGTTTGCAATCTTCAAAGTAATACCTTAAATAGTAATGATAACTACTCAAAAGACAATTATTTGACTGAGATAGGTTTGATAAGTGAGCTGCTTTACTTATTCCAGGTTTATGACTAAAAGTTAACCAACACTTTGAAATTCAGTGAAACTGGAATAAATAGCCTCCAAATTAATGACCTTGTCTTACTGACTCAGTCCTTCCTATTCAGCTAGTAATCTCGAGCTAGATCTCCAAAATCACACACACCAAGGTTGAAAGTTATTTGACTATTTTAGTGTAATTATAGACAAGTGGAGCTGTGGGTTTAGGGAGATGACTTCAAACCTATGGGTTACTGGTTCGAACCCCACCCCACCTACTGAGGTTTGGGCAACCAGGTGGTATTGTAGGTAACTACAGGACCAAGATGAAGGAAGGAATGTTTATTATTGACATCTTGTACAGTAGTCATCAAACAGTTTACACTTTCTACTAAGACAGTCATTTGCACAATGTGCTGCATTTCCTCTGCTGCTTCTATCTTGATTTGCTCTTAATAAGCTCACATTGTCTCTTGCGTTTCTCTGGGCAGAATCTTGATCCACTGCTGGCGATTCCCTATGATTTCTGCCCCCCTCTCAAGATATGTTACTTATATCCATCCTGATCAGCAGCGCCCACTACAGCATCACTAGCCCTTACATCATTGCTGTGCTTGATTGCTTACTGCATGAATGTACACAGAATCGCTGAGTGTGGGCTTGTTTTGCTTGCATCTTAAACGTCATAAAGTAAATAATACTTGTGTTATGTCAAAGCAAAAACAAATGGAACACATTTAGTTTCACTCGCACGTTTATCTGTCTCATTGGCAGATTATCCCACTGCCTTTCTCATTGCCGATTGGCTCATCTCATTTCAACCTTGCAAATTAATTTCGCATAGTACAGTAAACATCATGTAGTGTCAATGTATACACTGTCTGAACGACGGGCGAGCAGAAAAAGTACAAACTGAGAAAAATTTATTTCGAAAAATAGGTCTTACTGTCCTGTTTTAGAAGATTGGGTAACCCTTTCTTGCACCTGACAGGCAAAAACAAGGTATAGATACTGGGTGATGATTGAAGGTGAAATGATGATTTTGACCGCTGCCGGTTTCGAACCAGCGACCACCGGGTTACCGGCCCAGTGCTCTACCAACTGACCTATGTGGTCCGTCTTCTGGTCAGATTTTTATTTGACTTCAATCACTGGTCTGCCAAACTACGGCTATCTCAGATAGTCAAATGATAATGAATATGATTCTCTCCCTCTCTGATTAGGTTAAATTTGGATTGGATTGAGAAGTCCTGACTAGGTAGCCAATGTGAATACGACTAAGCGGTAGTAACGCATTACGAATTCACATTGTAGTCGGGTAATACCTTTGATGATTGAAGAGAAATAAAAATCTGGTCAGCAGTCGGACCACATAGCTCAGTTGGTAGGGCACCGGGCCGGTAACCCGGTGGTCTCTGGTTGGAGTCCGACAGCGGTCGGAATCACCATTTCACCTCCAATCATCACCTACTAGTCTGCCAAACCACGCCTATCTCCGGTAGTCAAATGATAAAAAACAAAGTGCTTTCATTTAAATAGATAAAAAAATTATACTAAAGTAGGTAGTCAGTAACAACCAATAAGGTAAGACGCACACATTTCGCCCTAAAAGAATTTTATTCATTCGTTTGAATAATTTAAATAGAGTGAACATAATTCCTTTTTGTCAAAATGTTAACACCCCTTGAAAAAGAACCGTCCAAAAAACAAAACAATAAATAAATCACTAGATAATTGGTTCAATGTTCTATTAACACACTGGCGGATTGTAAGTCATTCTTTCTGTATTTGACTTTCAGCACATAGGTCAAGGGCTTGAGCCTAGTTCACGTAATAAGAACTCAATAATCAGGTAGCACTACCATAGCTGTTATACTAATGACATGGCTTGTGGTCTAGTATATGAACTTGTAGGTCTTTGATGAGTCTATTTTTTAAATTCTTCCGCTGATGAAGTATGCGTAAGCACAAGATATGAATCTAGGTAAAAAAAGTCCACTCCCATAGGTAGCTAGATGATGGGTGGTTCGAACAATTTGGCTATCTGCGTTGAAGTAAAATCAGGGTATGTCGCAGATTAGCCCGGCACCAAATGAAGAAAATGACCACCTGGTGCTTACGTCACCTTAGTCTGGATAGTGAGTACTGCTGACGAACATGGGTAGTCTACAGTTATTCATGTCATTTATTAGTATATACCGTACAGCTTTCGTGATAGTTTAAAGTCAAGCTAGTTATTTTATTCTTAACACGAAGTGCACGGTTTGGAAAAATATGATAAAACTTTGGTTGCATCAAAGTGGTACCGTTTAATTTGCAGTATTTATTATTATACGCGCTATTCAAGATTAAAAATAACGGCTCATTACTTAGTTTCTCTTAAAATATGGTGTTTTCGTATTAGTGACAATGTTGTTTATGCATGAAGTTTAACCAACAAATTCTGCATTTAACTTCTGATGATTTGACAACTCGGGGGATAAAAACCAGTCTACCAAATTTTCAATTTTCAAGTTTACCCACTTAGCACACAACCACACATAAACCAGGAAAATTCATCTGTGAATGAAGTATAGTTAGAACGTGGTCAGGGGCTGGGCTATGTAGATCGGCTGGTAGAGGATAAGGCCAATAACCCAAAGACCGCTGGTTAAAACCCTCCAGCTATCCAGATTTTCCTTTCACCTTAAATCCTCACGCGGTAGCAGCAATCCCAGCCCATCACCCACCGTTATCTTAGGTAGTCCTTTAAACGATCCCTTTATAATTTTATGAGGCATCCCATCAGTGTATATGGTTTATACCTACTGCATTCTTTGAATATTGTAAAGGAAAACATCTTCAGATGTTTATATTAACAACTTGATTGCTTGAAAGGGTTTGAAGTCTCCTGTTATTTCGATTCATAATCATACTTCTGGCGTACAAAGGTGCTACTTTAAAATATATTTATTCAGTGTGCTAGCTTCTTATGCCTGTTATAACCACTTCGGTTTGTCAGTAGTACATGACGGACAGTATTCATAACTGACTTGTGCAGTCTTTCATATTTTACATAGTCTCATTTTCTTATTTCCTGTGATTATGAGTCAGCTTGCTCTTCATTGGTCTAGTCTCAGACAGTACCAACAGATCAACAGAAGGGTAGAACATAAAAGAAACACACTTCAGGAGGGATAACTAAAGTATGATCTCCCCTTGATCAGTGTCTTAGACTAATCTAGACGTAATATCTAACTATTTAGGTTTCCTTACTTGTCTGGTAGACCAATAAACCAGAAACCAAGAGTCCGATATTTTGTTTGTTTCCTTGCTTACACAGAAAAGCTTTTATCCAACTTTGACACGTAATCTGAAAAAAGTATTCCATTGAGATTTATTAATCCAGTCATTTCTCTTACATAATCCCTGCCTTAATCACAAATATCTCCGAGATAAATAATATCGAAAACTCCTTATCATTTAAAACATTTTATAGATAAAAATGACTCGAGGATGCGTTATGTTCATTGTTCAAACGGCTACACTGATAAACGTGATATAAATCAATATCGAAACACTGAAAGTTCTCAAAAGAATCACAACAGCCTAATTAATAACGTTCTTAATAATAATTCGCACGATCATTTGCAATTACAGAAGCCAGGACGATTAAATTGGGCTTACGGAATTGCAATACGCAATACAAATCTGAAAATTCTACTCCATACATTGAATAAAGTTGTAGAAAAAAATCACATTGATTATGTTCGCCTCAATCCCTATTGTATTTTATGTACACATGTGAATCACCACCACAATCATATGAAAAGTAATAATAACCAAACCATTAAGAATTCATCACAGATTAATTATGGTAAACGTCATACTGACAGCAATAAAAAAACCTCTTCGCTGAAATGGGAAATTGAAGTTGTACATCTGCCAAGGTTTCAAACATATGGTATACGTTTCAAGCCAATTGATGGTGATTTGATCCAGTATAGATCCATCGAAAAATCACTGACTATACAACTTGTACAAGCGATGAATGATTCGGCTTGAATTGGAAATTTCTATCATTTTGGTTTTTTACTTTCAAAACGGCTACATCACATTTCTTCATGGAAATTCTAACTAGATTCTTAAACAAGAGCTACATCTCTGTATAAAATTTATTCAATTACATCTGACTACTTATAAGTAAGCAATTTTGTAGGAGTGATTTTTCACTTTGTTTCGTAGTAAACTTACAGACAACTTTGTAAATTTATTGTACTATTGATGTTTTATTAAAACACTCATTGAAAATTAACTACCAATTTGTAAAATAGTACATCAGACTGATTAAGTTATTATTACATACATATGTATACAAACTGTGTTCCAACTCGCAGTTCATTACAATGTACTAAATTAATCAACCTGCGTTGATCACTAAGTTCATGGAAAGAAAATGCCTCTATAAAGCCTTGAATTTAATTCTAATGTTAAGATAAGACAAGACAAATGGAATCCTTTGGATTTCGCTGCCAAAAAAAACAATATCAAAATGGAATCCAAGGGGATCTCAACGAATTCCCTCAAGGGCACTGTATATTATCAGAGGTCGTTAGATTCAAGAAAATGAACTGAAGGATTTACAAAGTGTGAACTTAAAAAATTATAATCGTTGTAACGGAAACGGCTTTTGTGAATAATTCTGCTAGTGGAAGGAACTTTGAGAATTTTGAAGCTCTAAGTTTACATATCAATGAAAATATCATCAGTAGTCTAAATGCAGGATGTTCAAATGATGAATCCTTGATAAAACGAAACGCAAGGGCTGAATCTCAGTTTTAGACACCACTAAACAAATAAGATGTTTCCAATTTCATTCAGTAGATAGTTGATCAGCGACTTATTAGGGATGTGTTAACTACCAAGAGTTTAAGTGAAAACCATTATCTGTGAACTTATTTAACCAGTAGTTAGCAAAAACAACTGTAAGTATTGGAAAGGATTATATACTAAGCTTGAAAAAAGTAAAAGAACATTAACCATTCTAAACTCAGCCTGTATACTATTACTCTCATCCATAAGATTTTCTCTCAATACCTTCAATAAAAAAACACGAGCGACATTCAAGCTGAAGAGGAAATACTGTTCAACACTTTCTTCAAAAGATATCATTCAAAGAATAAGGTAGGAAAAACTATAATGAATGTACTAATAACTTTAATTAAGCTATAAATGAATGAAGTCGGCTTTGATGTTGGGAATGACATCATGTCTGTTGATTTGTTTAGCCTGATTGAGAAGTTTTAATTAAATTCCATTTGATTCTCCTCCACACAAAAATGGCGGTGCTACAACGAAAACATAAGTAATAGCTGAACTCAAGTAATCGAGTGATAGATGCTCTGAAAATTCCAACAGTTGATGTAAATCCTATAAACTGATTTGAGATAAAAGTACATAACAAGCAAACAACAAATTAACTAGTTCCCAATGAATACTAAAGCATTATTAACATATCTGTGAATAAACATTAAAATTTCTGAACATACAGTGAATCTAAGCTTGTTTTGTCTTGGTGGTGCCTCAAAAGAGGATCAGCGACCCTGATCCTCACATCAGTATGATTGTAAAGAAGAAAATTCAGCGAAGAAATATTTCCTTTTCGATGAAATCATTAGCTAAACCTATGCAATTATACTTCTTACCTCGGGAAATAAATAACTATTATTGAATAAAAGGTTGAGAGTGAAATAACAGCAATAATACAAGAGGAGAGAGTAGGGAAGTGTGTGTAAATGCGTAGACTACCTGGTTGGGGTCCCAGAGACGAAATGAATCACTGGTTGAGGATTCTTGGTGACATAGCTGAAAATCAGTCACAATGACATGGATGTATCCACTCCTTGACGTCTTCTGAAGCTTGAATATTCACACTAACCTTTATTTTCATATTGTTTATTCTCTCATACAACTTTGTCTACTTTGATATCAATTTTTTTCCATTCACTTGTTCTTTGTATACTACTGTGAAGTGTGGCAACTTGAACCGATGCACTTGTATGCAAGGTTCTACATTAATTTTGTCAGATATGCGTAAACAATTATTTAATATGTCAAGTTGTTATTCATCGAAGACTGACATCAGTTGGAGGAACAAAGGAAACCTGGGAGCATTGGACAGCTGTTTCGTCCTAGTATGGGACTCCTCAGCAGTGCGCACCCACGACCCCACCAGCAGGGATCGAACCCGCGACCTTCAGGTTCCGCGACCAGCGCGTTAATAATATATACGATGCTTAAAGTAATAAGATGGTCATCATCTGATCGCATCTCCTCGAAATTCCTTCGGTGCAAACCGACGGAAAGTCTAAAACTAATGAATATCTGATAAAATTAGTTTCCTTCAAAAATTTTAGTAAAGCTCGAAAAACAAATTTTGCAGGATATAATGAATTTATTGCATTTCGTCGTTTTTTTTTCAACTATGTTCAAGCTATAAGTTCATAAGATACATACTGAAAGCTATATATATATATATATATATATATATATATATATATATATATATATATATATATATATATATATATATATATATATATGACCAACTTGGGAAGAACTATATTAGCTACAGCTATCAGTCAAACTACGACGTATAACAGGTATGTTGATGACACGTTTTCTATGCAATGACATGGATCATTGCTAAAAATATTTAATAACGCGCATATGAATATTAAGTGTCATGGAACACGAAAAAAAACAATAAATTCCATATTGTGGACTTGAGACTTCGATAATGAAGAAGAGATGGTTCTTGTGAGAGATCTGTCGACAGAAAAGAAACATGGAGCGGACAGTATCTCCATTTTAAAAGTTTCCCTCCAATGAGTTATAAGCAAGGATTACTTAAAGTGCTATATCAAAGGGCTAAAAACTTTTTTCATCAAAAAAAACTGACTGAAGAAATTCAGTGTCGGAAAAAAGTGGCTACCCTATGAAATTAATAAATAAGGTCAAAATGAGAACAGCGAAAACAAGTGTACTTGATAGTCCCAAGAAGAAACCAGTGTTTCTTCATCTAACTTTCAAGAGGGATGAACTCATGAACAGAGTTAGTAGAAGAATGAGAACCACACTAATAACCACCCTTCCAACAGCTAAATTAGTTTTCATAAGCAAAACAAATTGTTCACTACAACAATCAAAAGTTGATATATTTCCACCTCTTGTCACCACCTCACATTATATCTACCGATTAACAAGTACATGTCAGAGCACCTGCATTGGAAGGACAGAGAGGAGGGCTGATACTAGATTTCGTGAACACATTTCAAATAAGTTAAGCTTATATGAACCAAATTGTCTTAAAAGTTTCATTACTAAACATCTGATGGACACAGAACACGATGTCCAGATGTCGAAGGGATTTAAAATAATTAGCAAACAAAAAAATGCTGTTACTAAGATTCGTAAAAGTAATCGCTTTCAGAACAATCAAAACGAGAGTATGCATCCAAAAAGAGGCAGTTGTTAACCTCCAACTTTCATGGTAGACACTGATTTGTTTTATCATTGAGTATAATCCCTTCCAAAATTCTGTATTTTCATCCCATTTTACAACCAATTTCGATATCAATTCCCATGCCATTTCCATAAGTTTACCACTTGACCCACGTAAAAAATGTTGACCGTATACTTACGTTATTAACTCATTATATACACTTACACAGCATTTTATATTCCATTTTTTGATCGCTTACATGTAGCAAGATGACAATCTGATTGCTAAAACACTAGATAACTTCGGTTTTGGTAATCATAAATTATTTCATTGGGACTTCTTTAATCTGTATCGAATCTTACATGATCTTATCAATCCACTATCATCTTCTTGATAAGTAAATTATGTGGATTGTATTCGTCTCTATATATCTCTCATGAATTTATAACCTGTACGCAGTTGTAAGAAAGGCGACAAAACACAGTGAATTCACCTTACTCTGCAGAATTTGTTGTTCTGGATTCACTAAAATAATAGATATCTACTCATATTTTCCATGAATACCGGAAAAATATGCATTCATCTACTATAGTACATCGTTGTATTTCAATCAAATACAAGAACTGTCTTTAGGTCCTAAAATCAGCGGGATTCCACTAAATTATAATGAACTTGATACAAAGATTCAGTTCGAAGGTTTGATTCACTAAACCAAAGATATGATTTCATGTGTTTCAATTCCTTATTTAAGTCCTTACAATGACTAGTGAGTTTCTCAGCTCTGTTATATGCTTCCAGTTCCAAATAGAAAGTTTGATCAATTTAAGTTCACTGTTATAACTTACATTTATCAATACAGTAACATCAAACCGCATATCAGATAAGCATAAATAATAGTTACTTGGTATTTTGAGAAATAAATAATTATTACTGAGTCATCCTGTTAGGGATGCTGGTGTTGTCGTTGATAGACTATGTCACGAAAATATCAACCATGTTATGACACAGGCTTAAAAAGACTACGGAACAAACTGAACGGAAACTTATTCAATCTGACAAAAAAAAATGAATAAATCTGCCATCAGATCGATCAATAGGAAGCTAACATGGAATGGATAGTATACGGATTTAAGACGAGCAATGCTGGACAGAAAGATAAACCTTAATTATTCATTGCTTTCCTTATTCAGATGGATCTTCATAGAAGACAAAATCAATGATGAGCAAAAGATATCCCAATAACTACTCATAGAAAAAGTTAAGCTCGTAGGTTCATCAAATTGCAACCAGAACATGCTTGACGACTTGTAACAAATCTTAAGATCTTATTTATGAGTACTTCAAGGGTGATACGACAGCAGAAAATCTGAAGAACCAAATATCTAGGTCGGTAATAAAGATATTTTCTTCCGCTAAGCTCTGGACTATTTTCTTCAGCCGACAAATGACTCTTGGATATGTCAAGGAAAAACTGCAGCTTTATGCTACCTAAATTTCAAAATATGTGTATTGTACAAGTAATATCGATTCACCAGCTCAAGCCTGATTTTTGTGTACACACAAACACACAAATCAGATTAGAGCATAGCACAGAAGTGTATCAGTTGCCAGACTTCACAGCAGTATGCAAGGAGGAAGTGGATAGAGCAGATAACAGTAAGGTAGACAAATGTATATGAATTACCGAAACGTTTAAAACTTTGAAGATGAAAAAGAGTGTATGCATCTGCACCGTTATGAGTCTTCAACCACTAACTTCTATCATCTTGGAAACCCCAGTCAGAAAGTTAATATCGCTCGACACAAACCAGACCAATAGTCAAAGAATTCATGGATTGGTACTACGTCTTAATATGACCGCCGTTAACATTCTTCCCACTCAATTCTATTTCGGTAAAAAATAGAACTTCAATATAGGCGGTGCGTCGGCATACATATGTTCAAACTATCTCAGTCACTGAGATGTTTGTTGATAAAAGAAACACAAACAGTTTCCGATTTCACCATGGTCTTAATCCTCTTTCTTTTAATTTGTCAGTTTCATTACCACTAATTATTACACTACCACCACTTTAATCATGATCCATATTTCGTTTTTCACCTTGTTTTTATCTGTCAAGCAGACACTTACCTATGATACTTCATATCTATCAATATCATGCTTTTTTAAAATTACATTTCTCATCTCATCGATTATTGGATAATTGTTTCGTATATACGCTCATTTTTTGTCCAGTCCTCGAACATTGCCATCCATGCGATCCCAGTCTATCATTCAATGATACGTATGGCAATGTTGAAAAAGGAAATTTTCTTCTTACCCAAACTGCCTTCTTTTTTCTTCATCACTCGATGGGACTTTTCCTTAGTTTAATTTCATTACCTAATATAGAGACAAAAATCAAAATGCACCCAGCAACCGTGTGCACACTGGTGAAGGAGACAATGAAACCTACCTAGTGTGTGAGGTTGCTCAAATGTCGGTAGGTGGAGCAGGGTCCCAACCCATGGCCCACTGGTTGAAAGTCAATTATCTAAACGATTGAAAGTAATATAGGCTTTTAAACGCCAACAATTCACGTGGACATTAATGAGAACGTTCAAAACGTCAAATCATTGCCCGAAATCCATAATTTGGAAATACCTTTAAAGCCTTCTAATCGACACTCATTTCACTGACTGGCTAATAGAGAAAACAAGCATGGCTAACTCTGGAATTGCACAAAATCCTTCAAATAGTCTACATAAACATTTTTTCGATTCATTCACTCATAAGCATTTGCCTCTCCCGCGATGAACACCAAGTTTGAATTCTGCTCTACCTACTGAGATCCCGACAGTCAGGTAATCCTATTGGGTACCATACAAGAATCGTGTCTTATAACCTAGTACAATGATATATATGCTCCTGAAGTTCACGGTGTACCAAATTGAAACAAAGCATCGACGGTTACCAACCAGTCTGGAGCATAATGTCCTAGGTTTCAACCTTCCAATTTCGATTATGTGCACAAACCTAGTAAATAAATTTATATCACCTTTTAAATATTTTGATAAAGTTACAAAGGTTGGCACTGTATTATTTACAAATATCGAGTAATCAAAACATTGGACATTCTTGTACGTTGAAAGCATGAACTTTCTGGGATATTCAAAACATTGAGTTATTTCAGATTAACATTTTATTGTGTGCACTGTTGTATGTGCTAAAATGAGGTATGAAACTAGGCTATTATCCTTTTTTTCAGCTTAAATTAAAAACCAATGAATCATGAAATTGTAGATGAATTCACCGATTGATAAATAATTACATCTGTATGCTGACATTTGATGCTAATATTATACGAGTAGAAAGTAATAAATTTTGTCTCAATAAGTTTTTACTTTGCGTTTGAGAACAGTTTAAATCAACACAGTAAAATTGAAGAATATGAGACTTAATGAACGAAGAGAACGATAACCATGAACAATCATTTACAGCGTTACGTGATTAGTCAGTAAGACTTCGGCTATTTCACCATATATTTGTGTAATTAACGAATTTCATAGCCTACATTGAGCGTTTGATCCTCAGACAATATTGTGATACTATATTGGCAGTTGGTCGATAGACAATGACAAATTATATGCTATTGGGAGAAATACAAGCATACATATGAAAACTGAAACAAAAGATAGCACAATATTCAAATGCCTATCCGTTTACCTCGTCGTACAATGTTAGCTGAAGTAGATTTAGGCGAGAAAAATGTTAGAGGTGACCAGACTAAAATATGGTATCGCTGCATAAAGTCTCAGACTGTTGGTCTGAGCTATGAAGGGAAATATAGACGTCCCCGTTGGCGTTCATGTAATAACAGAAACTAGTGAGTGCAGACTCCAAGTGGTATAGCTTAGAAACAATATCAGTGGCGTAGATGTATCCACATATAATCTTCATCTTAACCAAAGCACTGACTTCATTATTTTCTCATTCACCCTTCTTATAACGTAATGTTATCTACTGCTCCTGACTGATTCTCCTCTAGTTCTTTATTTTTCATCGTATTGCTTTGTTGCTCGATGTGCTGATACAAAGAGTGGCGACTTGGATCGTTATGCAGTAATTCTTGGTTCTATGTTGATATTAATGATAGTGATGAGATCTCTATCCTGTAGAATGAAAAAGCTTGCTAGATTTATCGTTGATCACTTATGGCTTATGCAAACTTTACGGAAGTCATTTTTGGAGTATAAACGAGTGAAACAGATATCCAGTGTCAAGATCTGGTTAGGGAAATCAGGAAATTAATGTGAGTTCTTTCTAACTATACATGCTGATAAGCAAAAGACTTCATTGTGTTGATTTCCGATACGAGTTTCCAAGTTGTACGAAAATAACGCTTGTATAAATTGTTTTACATGACACTATTATCAAGCATCTACTGTCGTTCTGTTTTCTTCTAATTAATGAACATCTAATTTCAAACTTATTTATCATACATCGTTTTTAAGATATTCTTTATTCCTTCTGATAAGTTTTCTGTTTTATATTGTGGTAAAATCAATTATTCAAATAACAACGTAGTGACTACACTCAAATTCATGCATTGACAATAAGCTATCCCTTTTGTGTCCAAACTGATGAGATTACCTGAGTATCTAGACCTTGGTAGGTAAGAGAGAGATAAAACGCGTAACTACAAGGTTGTGAGAACTTTAATTAATACTAACTTTCTTATGGTTGATTTTATTTTACTAAACAAGACCTTTAATGTTACTCATATACAAATGACATAGTAATCCAGTATTGCATGCTTCGTCCTTTCTTATACATTAAGTTCCAATTTTTTCAGTCGTTTCGGGAGCAGGACTGCCTTTGCTAGGTGTAGACAAATGAACACGCCAATATAATCCAGGTGTATCAGACCGTCGAATTAGATAAGAAGTTCGATTTAAATTAGGTTTTATAATTAATCCTTTTTGAGCTGACCAATCATATGGTGGATACATACGCGATTTTTCCTCTTCTGTTGGTTCAATAGGAACCTAAATAAATAGAGTTAAGATCAACAAAATAATTCAGAAAATACTTTTCAGATGGTCTACGGAAGAAAGTGGAAGACATATTGTGTGAAGGGTTATACAGTCAGAGATAATAGTAGTAACTATGAAAATAGTCATACGGTCAATAACATATAAGACGAAAACTGAATGTATAAAACGAAGATTTTGTAAGCAGAAAGCCATGAAAAAAGAAAATAAGGCAGTAGTAAGTCATAATGCAAACGTTCTTGTAACAATATCGTAAGTTAACTATCCCTCTTCTCCAATTTGAGGTCAAGATAAGTAAATGTAATTCGAGGTATTTCTTTCCAGTACATTAGTTTGTCTACCTCACTTCAGTTCCCATCGTCATTCCCATACACAGGAGAAGTAGTTAAATTACTATTGAGCTGTTCTTGAAAAGAGTCACATCTGATAGGAATGAATTAAGTACATGAGTCAACTACTAAATAGAAATCAGAAGGAGTCTACGCTTCATCTAGTTTACTCAGAAGCCTTGTACATGAGTGATATATGTTATACAGATTAAGGTTTACGGTACTTTGCCAACTATTTCCAGTCACTTAGTACCCTAATTAATATTTCTCTGAATACCACGCAAGCTAATTATATGACATCAATAGAAATGCTACTATTACAGGTTTCGAGACTAAACATTTGAAAAGGCAGAAACTATTATTTCTTGAATTGACAGGGTGTTATTCCACGTTCAAAATTGTAACGCATACTGTATAGAATTTCAGTTCATATATGTAAGGATTTGATTTAAATATGTACCGATACAGGTAGTTACAATTCTTTACAGACTAGGAAGCTATTAACGTAATTTCGTATGACCAGGAAAACCAAATGTTACGTGCATATGCTCATCCTCTGAAAAGATATGAAGTTAGTGTACTCAGGTTATAATTAAAGCTTATGCAGAAGATAATCGATTGTCTGTTGTCAATAACTCAGAGCACTTAGATGACTATTTGCTGGGGATATAGAACTGCGCAAACACCTTCATTGGAATTTGAAAACTAATCGAATTGACGTCATATCTTTAGAGATTAAATATGAAATCGTTTCTTTCTGTGTTCTTGACCTGATCAGATGATCAACAAACACGAAAAAAATGACCTAGTTGGTTTAATCAAACAAATCTTCATATACTTACTTCATAATATCTGATACCTCAAATACTCACCAGTTTTATCAAATGCTTCCAATGAAATAGTAATTAGCCCTCAATAACTTCTTTATGTCTTCAACCGAACAACGTTCACTTCAACACGGCGCAACTAAAAACTTGTAGCTGGTTTTTTCTGTATCGCATCATACATTTAGCCGGTTACACAACCCTTAGGGTGTGTATACAAATTCTTAAATCATCAAACTATATGTGGCTACAATCTAATTCGACGGTACAATTTCGTACCAAAAATGGCTCTCGATATCCATTATGACAGATAGAAGACAGTCACTAATCTGGCTACGGCAAAGCTAACGAGTGCATGTAATGTTTCTAAACAAGTAAATTAGGTTCAAAATTATGAAGTACCACTGATTCATTAATGCATAGATAATATAGTCCTTCAGAACTGCATGCAAGTACTCTGTAAATTATTTTGAAAGAACGACTGGGAGGGATAGATAAAATCAACCTGGAACCTCGCACACAAGTGCATCGGCTCAAATTGTTATAATTCACAGTAGCATAAAAGGAACAAGTGGATAGTAAAGACTGATATCAAAGACGAAGGTACATGGGAGAAAGTAATTAAAAACTAGGGTTAGACAAGAAAACCAAGGACCAGAAGACACTAAGGAATGAATTTGTCCAAACCATTGTGACCAATTTTCAGCCATTTCACCAAGGGTCCTCAATCACTGAATCCTATCGTCTAGGAGAGCCCAAATGAGAGCCAAATGTCAAACGATCCTTGTGTATCTAAGCTGAGATTTTGTCAGCGACCAGCTCATTTGGGCTGATGCAACCTATCGAGTAATCGAAGTGGCCGGTGCATTCCACCATTTCATTCCTTATCCTTACAGTAAGAATAGTTGCTGACCAGTCCTGAAGCATCGGCTTACATTTGACAGGTGAGAAACATGTGCCAAACATACTAAGATTTTCGCGTTCAAAAGACCTTAAATTTTGTCAGCAACTTCACCCAAAAGGACATTGTCATCTGCGTACTTCAAGTCAACCAGATATCATCCAGGGAGTAGATCAATGCCTGTGAGGTCAGACGTACCTAAAGTAATCCTGATTAGCATATCTATAGCTAAGTTAAGTAGGAACAGTGACAGCGGGTATCCCTGGCAGATACCATCAGATTTTCGGTGATGACACCTCGTTTCTATAGAGCAACAAACATTTGCTGTTTGTAAACGCATTCTGGAACGTCCCGCTGCTTGATTAATCAAAAGAGCAAAAGAGAGAAAACGAGTATCACCAACTCAATTCTTGAATACTTCGTCATATCCAGATATATGGCCCCTCCCAATCTTTTCTTGAAAATAACGTACAGTGCCTCTCTACAACTCCAAATGGCTTCGAGTACATCATCTATGGATCATCAAATCATTGATAGTCTACAACCTAAAACCTGATCTTTGTGTTTAAAAACACTGCAAACACTCATTAACTTTACCGTGCGCCGGCGTAGTGATTTCCTTCTGTCTTTGGGAACAACTGTTTATTCTGTTGTTGGACGTCATGATAATTGCATGACCTCGTTGATTAACATTAGACTGTTATTTGTTCCCAGTTGTAAATGAGTTGTTATTTGTTTTTGTTTTTAAAAATAAACAGATCTGTTGTCCAGGTAAACATGAGTAAAGATTTGGACATTCCAGATAGGGAAAGCCAACAGTGTGAGGTCCCGCAAGAAATCGTCAAGCAGTTAGAAGATTTCAGGGACCAAAAAACACCGAACCACTATTCAGAATTATAAACTGAGAACGGTTACTAGAGCCACGGCTCAGTGATTTAGGGAAATGACTATTAACCAGTGGGTCACGGGTTCGAACCCCGCTCTACCTACTAAGGTCTGGACAGTCAAGTAGTAAACATAATCAGCCATTACACAATAGGTGTGACCTAATGCCTAGTGCACGAATGTGCACAAGGTTGGTGAGTGGATTCGACATAAAATGTGTTTGCACCAGAGTAAAAATCAGTACCAAACACTCCATCAATCTGAGTCTCATTTGATTTTTCTGCCCTTTCGCAAGTCATCAAAGTGATACCGAATGATTAGGAAATTTGTTATTTTAGGAACCAAACTAATTAGACTGTTAATCTTTTTTCAAACAAACAAAGATTTTAAACCCATTTTTGGACTGTAGCTGTTTTAACATGACTAGGTTGTTATAACGACAAAACTGTGAGAATACTGAGAATGACTATTGAAGGGGTATACACAGTCTTAATGAAGGCTTGATAGAGTGAACTACCGGTAAAAATTTCCGAAGAAAACAGATCTGAGAAAGCAGGAAAAATAATTGATGGATATTCTAACTTTATACTACGGAAAGTCATTAATGTAATCTCTGGCAGCCATGTCGTAGACTCGTGTATTGTTTTAGCATTATTGATCTACGCAAATTCGATACGCACTAATGTCCAAAACAAAATATTATGATTCAATGAAGGCGTGAAGTAAGATCAGGAATAAGTGAACGAATACAGAAGACACATTTAGAAAGTTTTCTTCAATTTCCATAAAACAAGGGACATTATGAAGCTACAATATGATTTTCTCACAATGGTGATTCAAAGAATAACCAACTTCGCTTTTTCTTGCCAGTTCTGGGACTAGAAAACACCAAACACTATGAAGACCACTGATTTACAATGCATAATATCACCGAAAGTGATGTTCCGAAATTATTCCACTTGCAGAATAATGATTTCCATCATGTTAACACAAGTACCGTCAGGTTTTACAACCATTTACAAGGTGTTACAACTGGGTACGAGCGATCTTACGGTGATATGGAAAGTTGCTAACCATCCTCAGTTCGGAAAGGCCAAGTCAAATAGATGCATAGTAAAACTGCTTGGATAGGACTCTTGCACTGCTTCCAGAAGTGATTACACATGTAGACTCCTTTCAATCTTTCAAAAACAATTTTCACGCTGATGATGCAGAGTATATACAACTTTTGTGCACAACGATCACCAACTGAGTGAGTGAGGTTGCAAACCTCTAAATGCTCTGGTGGTACGAGTTCACAGTCTCTGCCAGAGAAGTCCTATTCACTGCCTTCACGTGGCGGTGGTGTTTTCACAGATGTAAAATGGAGCAAGTGAATGTCCAGCGATTACAACCGGATTGGTGGGTACTGAGGGTCCACCCGGGGGAGTCAGAAAACCCTGACTCCAAACCAATGGTGCTCATAGGTTCCAGATTCCAGATGAAACGAATGGCGTATGAACCTCTTTTGGTCACCGGCAACCATGGGAATGCAGCTCTTGATGTTGCTCCACTGCCTTGTGGATTAGACTTTAAGTCAAAAGCTCGGGGAGCGGTCCTCTAAGACGGTCTGGGCGCCCAGGCAGTATCCCAGCCCTCATACACTCACACAAGAGTGCAGTTGCAGTAACCAACATTTTGTCGCACAGTAAAATGAAAATGTCTGTATATTCAGTGTCAAAATATCTTTCTTCAAAAAACAGAACTACACCACAATCAATAACTTCCTTCAGAATTAATTCAAGAAATTCATCGATAGAAATGTCGATAAGGAGTAATGAATTAGGACGAACTTAGTCTCACCCTTCAGCAGATTTTTAGCAATATAAATAGGCGTATTTTTTGCCTTCTCTTTGAGGTGTCTCCGTAAGAGGACTTTGACAAGAACACTCCTCCTTAACAGAGAATCCTATAACACCGTCGTATCCAATGAATCAATAACCCTAATGTCAAGAAACGCAACAAGTGTTGGCCTATAATAGAAATAATGTTATTCAAGCATTCGGTAGAGTATCAACAAGTGGTTACCGTATGCATGATGTAGAAAATTCAACCTGTTCGTCACAGACCAGCTCCTGATGCATCTTGCATACGCTCGCAGGCTAGAATCAGTATTTACCTTGACTACAATCTTAAATTTGTAGAAGACTACTTGAACTGTTTGGATAGTCTAACGCGCTTATGCAGATTCTTCGATCATAGGTTTACTTCAGCCTATATTTCTGACGAAGCTAAGTATACGGCAATTAGATGATAAGAAAAGAAGCCTTTAAAACACTGAAGCATATTGATAACAAAGGAGCTTACATTTAATAAGGCTATTATTCTAGTTTGGGTACATTTATGCGCAGAAAAAACAATTTTTAAGGTGTTAGAAATAATATGCTGAAAACATTGGCCGCACGACAGTTTACCGTTGTCGAAACTAATGAACAAAATTGAATTAAACGAAAATCGTTTGTGGATGCTTTTGTTGACAAATAACTATCGGAATACACTCAGTAACCGAGTGTACGTTCAAGCAGTAGGTAGGTAATGACGCACACCTAACGTGTGATGTTACCCGACTATCCATACCAAATAAAAAATAAATAGAAACAAATAATTCTGAATATTTGCTACAAAGAATGGAACTATCCGAAACGATAGCAATGAGATGAACATTCAATAAACATTATAATACGGACTTACTTTGAAATCTGTTGGATCATAGTGGTGGGGTGTTAGTAACAACAATCCGCTAGCTTCTTTCATTGATTGTTGCATAGATGATGAATGTGTCGATTTTTCAACCTGTTCAACTATTTGAGGTGAAAGGATATGTTTCCTACGCAACAATATTGTCAATAAAGGAGGTGCTTCAGCAATACAACTAACTGGAACATCTGGAGCAATTGAATCACTTTTCTTTGAAAGAGATATCAAGTTTTCTGCTTCACTAGGTGAAAGAAGACGCCAATCTGCTTCATGTGTATTCGATAGAAGAGCATAACCTAAATCACGACCTCGAAATATCCTTTTACCCCAGGCTCTGCATCTAACAGCCGACTATAAATGATGAATTAAAAGCGGACAAAAAAACAAATATAGTTTTCGAAATATGAATTGAAATAAGTGGGTTCACAGGCGATTATTTAACAATTTAAAAAGGAAAGAAGATTAGATTTTTAGATATGTGACATCCTGTCGCTTTATTAATCACAGCGAATTCCATGAAAAATAATTAACTTAGAAGTGAATCGAAATCCACTCAGCAACCTTGTGTAAAATTCATACAGTAGGCAATGAGCCAAACCTATTGTTTGAGGGTTAGTGATACTAACTGGCTGTCTAAACCTCGGTAGGTAGAGAGAGATGTTCGAACCCACGACTCACTGGTTGAAAGTCGACTCCCTAAACCAATGAATTAAAACTCTAGAAGGATTAATGAAGTATATGCATGTACCTTTTCAATTCAATTCTGTATGGTATTATTTGAAGACTAGATTCTTATCAAGTTTTAAAAGTATAGACATACTGACATTCTTTATCAGATATGATCAATATAAGACATCAGATAGCTGTTATATCTTAACTAGGCACATAGAATCAGAAGTCGGTAAATGAAAGGATAACATAGTGTATACAATATTAACTGTCATGAGTTTGCAAAAAAAAATAAAAGGATATAAAGTGAATGAGACATAGCAATAAAATCTTTAGGATTTAGACGCAAATCATTTTATGAATGGTTTTGAGTACGTGATCAACTTTGAACGACTCTAACTATTCCACAACCCCACATAAAAAACATTAAAGAAGCCTACACTTTTTTATATAGCCTAGACTAACAGCAAGTAACTCTATCGATTGATACTGTATTATGTGACAACAGGTGTTATCAATACCACTAACACCAACAATTGTATGCAAAGATTTCGGTAGGATGTTATTGGTTAAGGTCTGTTAGTTTACAGCAACAAGTCTATCAATATACCCGAGACACTTTTATACACATCTATGACACGATTTGAAAGTATATTCAAACCTAACAAACCTAAGTTAACCATGATATCAAGAAGTATAGTTACTTATTTGACTTTTTTTTCGGCACCTAATAAAGAATTAGTTGGAAATTGAAAATACAACTGAACAACATTTGAATGGTAAGATAAATTCCTGTTGTTAATCGGAAATTTATAAATCAACTTCTAGTGTACTTCAGAAAAATCTAATGATATATAAAGTCGTTATTCAAGCTAACAGTAAACTTATTCACGTGGGAATCTCAAGCTCTTTCATTAAAGTAAATTTATCTTTTCTTTTAAATTGAATGAAATTTTTAGAGAAAATTTTGACTTAAGGTTTAAATGGCTTTTTTCCTACTGTTTAGAAATTTAAAACAACAAAAAATAGTTTAACTAACCACACAAGATGACTAAAGAGAATTATGAGAAGTGTAAGCTTCATTTTGTAAAATTAAATCACTTGTCCTTATTATCACATTCCAAATTGTACAAAAATATGCAGTTAAATGACGAAAGAAGTGTAAATACTACCACTTGCACCATCAAAAATCATTTTGATATTAATGATCAATAGTGACTAGTAGTGGAATCCAGGATGCGCGTCTCGTCCTACTGGGGACTCGTCAGCTGAATGTGCCTGCCTCCTATCGAATTATGTTGTTCCCGCCAAGACTAGAAGCCAGAACCATCTCTTCAAATCCCAGAGCATTATCCATAAGGCCTCTTAGTCACAACAGCCACTTTTCTTGCTGTGGGCATAGCATAATTTTGATTTTATAGCTTATAAATCTCCGTCTTTGATTGGACCGAGTTGATAAGCAACCATTGGTCAATCAGCTCCTTTGCGGATGACCTGATATTCCCGGAATCTTCAGTTTTGACATTAGTAATACAGGCTGTAGCATCAAAACCATAATATGCCTATCACCCAAGGGGTAGTAACGTGACTCAGTGGCCTAGTGGGTAACGCCCAGGTGTTTGAAGCAATTGCTTCTGGGTTCGAGTCTTGGTGGGAATAACACCACTCACTAGGAGACAGGCATGTCCAGATGAGGAGTCCTAAATAGGACGAAACGCGCATCCTTGATTCCACCGCTAGCCAGTGTCTATCATTTATATCAAATCTGAAAATATCGGCAATATTAAGGCACTCGCACAAGAACCCATACGCCAATAGTAACCGATCAATTCAGCCAATCAAAGATGCGGATTTAGAAGTTAAAAACTACCAAACATCATGCACTTACGAGGGACTATATTAGATTTTTAAGTGACAATACAGTAATTTCAGTCTACAAAAGCAGAAGGGAAATAGTTTTCGAGCAGAAAACACTCAAAGTAAGGAATGTCACGAGAACTAAACTTGCCTGGTTACCATTTTTTCATCGTCTTACACATTACTATGTCTGAGAGGTGGTGTAGCACTATGAAGCCTAACCTAAAGATGCTGATTAAATGGATAGCCAACAACCTCAGGATATCATTGGGCACCAAATGATTTCTACAGATTATTAATTATCGTCGTAATTTTGTACATCACTAACCATTATTTTCATTCACAAAGTTAATGAAACAATAATCGGTTGTGTTACCTTTTAACGGTTAATTACTTTGGAAATTAGCAAGTGGTCTAAACTAGAGAAGAACGATCTAGTAGGAGTAACTTCACTTCCGAATCCCATCCAGTTCAAAATATATCACAAAAAACGCTGTGCATTGAAAAAGCATTCCAATTAATCAATGGAGCTTAGAAGGTTTGCGATTACAAACACACTATTATTGGTAAGTATATTTTCAACGATTACTCAACACTTCAGCTTCATAATAAAGGATACTAGCATTGCACCTACGAATAAGTGGCGAACGGATGTCCGTGCTATCGACCAAATAAAGGATTTTTTAAAAATATTTCATTCATTCCATCTAGTAAAAAGGTACTGTAAATGACAGTTTCAGAATAATAGTAATTGGGCTCATTGTGTACTTGCTGAGTTAACGGCTCACGTTTTTCACTTCATCTTTTCCCTTCCCACTAAACTCACACGCGCTCCCCTGCAAAAATGTACCTACCTAAAGGCTCGATGAAAACAGCTGATCATTACATCTTCGTGTCGAAGGAGGGATCCGGCTCGACTGACGCGCACTCAACAGTAGCCATCCACTCTTATGTAACTCACATCCGCATCATACGCCATACCTAGCCTCTGACTTACTAAGGTACAGCCGGGCAATGAGGACAGTACCCCCAAATCTCACAAACCTTTATAAGTTTACACAGCATTCTTGAGAAACTAACCAATTTGGTTTCGACTCTTCGGGAATACTGTAATAAAACAACTTTAGAATCCATATATGAATAAAACTTAAAACTAAGTAGTTTAGCTAGCACTTGAAGAAAAACTAATGAAAACATTACTAACTTTATCGGACATCAGCGGGATAACGTTATCCAAAATGTAATAGCAGGGTTCTTTGAACTTTGCAGATTCAGTTTCCCTTATTACTACTCTACCTTTGGCACGATTTTTCAAGTTTTTGGCGATTTCCGACAGAAATTTGCCATAAAAATGGAGAGACGGGCGGCCAATATACTCAATTTTTGGCATGATAAACACGGTCTAAGTAAATGAGTGACTAATTACTTGTACCAATCCCCCCTGATTCACAAGATGATTGCCTTGTCAAGCAAGATTAACTCTGGATGAAGGAGAAAAATAAAAAATAAACCTGAAATAAATAGAAACTAGATAAAATCTTCATTTATGTACAACAAACAAAATATTTTAGAGGATGGAAAGTGTGTGAATTGGCCACAGCCAACCGAGCCTTTTGTATCCGTGCAGACATTTCTTCGGCCACTGACCTAACAGGACTGATCCGACTTCCCGGGTAAGTGAAGTGTTCAACGCACTCAACCACTTCACTTTCTATTTTAAGCTGAAGACCGGTCCTAAAGCAACAGTCTACATTTGTGTGGCGAGAAACGCATCCCAAACATCCTCGCACTCCCAATCAAGGTGTCCAGAAGACTGCGTCTTATCAGTACCTTTACCTAACAAGACTTTGTTATCTGCATACTCTAGACCTATCAAGGAGTCTCCTGTGATGAGATCAATCCCTGTGACGTCAGACGACCATAGGGAGACCTTCATAAGTGCGAATGTGATAAAGTTCAATAAGAATGGAGACCGCGGGCGTGCTTAACGGGCAACACCTGATGTAAGAAGCTAACCTGGTAACTCATCATAGGCTCTAACACACCCACAGATGTTCGAGTAGAGAGCCTTTAATAAGGTGATTTACTTATTCGGTACCCCTTACAGTGAGAGACACTGCCACAAGACCTCTCTTTCGACAGGGTTAAATGCCACCTCCAAGTGGAGAAATACAGCTATTGTCGGGCGTCGGTAAGTGTGCCTGTGTTCCAGAAGCTGGCGGAGTGTGAATATTTGGTCGATACACCCACAGCCGGGTCTAAAGCCTGTCTAGTTTCCTCGGAATTGCTGTGCCCAAGCTCCACTCAGGCGTCTAATGATTATACAACCTACAATCTTAGACATTATGTTCGTCAGAACTTCTCACTTTTCTTGAAGACCAGGATAATTAGTGGTTGAGATCAGTCATAGAGGATCATATTTGACTCCCATGCACTAGTTAACACTTCAGTTAACTAGACTACAAACACTCTACCGCCATACTGATATACCTCAGAAACTAGTTTGTCTGGTCCTACTGCCCTTCCTCACTTCAAGTTACCTACCGCTTTCTTAACTTCTGTAAGTGCTCGGGATCCTGTCCCACTGTTCCATTTCGGCTTCGACTGGATAGGTGCAACTCAATAGTACCCAGTTGAACAGTAGGCTAGTTGAACTATTCTCCCCATCCTCCCAGTCGTCTCCCCTGCGAGTGAATCGCAGACTCATGCTTCTTCGCTATAGTTTCACTAACTGTTGGTCTTTTCGACCCAGTTTCCCTAAGAAGTCTAAATAATTGTTTCCAGTTCCCTATACCTACTGCCTTTTCCATCTCTAAAGCTTTTGCTGCAGACCACTCTTCGCGGTCGTTGCATAGACTTTTTCTCAATCCAATTTTCAGTAGCGCTTACTCTTCATCGTACTCAGAGCCTGCAGGGATGCGTTGACGTGCACCCATTAGTTCAGAAGAAGCTGCTGATATCCACTGGCTCCTTTTAGCCACTCTTTCGGAGTCGGCTACAGTCTTCAACGCTGCTTTTACAGCAGACTGGAGATAGCATCAAGCTTCTTCTAGATGAGTGATAGTGTCGTATTCCGATAACTCCCTAGCCAGTTTCTCGTTGAAAGTGGCCTTAGTGCTCTCTTTATCGAGCTGCACTGGTAACGATCTTGTTGCTTAAATTTTTCTACGTCTGTTGGGAACCAGACGTATACGGGCTCAAACCACTGTGTGGTCGCTATCCAAAAACGTTCTCCAGAAGGAGTAGCAGTATTCCACCAACCCTCTCCAGTAATGACTGGTGGGAATCCGGTCTATCTATCCTCATCGCTGAGTTGAGCTCAGTGGAGGCCACGTCAGACAATGTGTGAACTTCGTGCTGCCTAGAAGTAAATAGTTATTTGAGTACAGACGTAGCAGGTGATCGCCGTCAAATGTCCATTCGACTAGAATTTCAAAAGTGCCACATAAGTGTTTTTCTGCCTGGCTTAGCCTACCCGCTTGTGCATTGAAACTGACTACTACAACAATCACGTCTGAATCCTTGGTTTCAAATAGGAGGGTAGACACTTTTCAGTAGAACTCATCCTTCACTTCGTCCGAAAAGTAAGCAGAGATTGCGAAGAAACAACGGTGAGTTTAGCTATTCTTCTTAGTTCTCATTGTGCCGTTCAGTTAAACAACACACAGGTGACTATCAACTAGAATCCAGTCGAGTAGTGCACTTTCCACCTTAGCGCTCAATTGATAAGTACGTCTATGATGAAAGCAAATTAAAGTGGTGATAGTGGATACTCTTGACAAACACTACTCGATGTGCATAACTCACCATAAGCCCTAACACACATCGACGCGTGTACTTACTCGGCATCCGTTTCAATGAGATACTGAAATAAGGCCTCTAGGAAAACGGAGTAAAATGCCACCTTCAGGTCGCGAAATAGTTAGTTCCGGGCATTGATCAACCTTAAATCAAGAACCTGGTGGAGGGTAAATATCTTGTCAAGATACTCGCGACAAGGTCTGAAGTCTGTCTGGTTTTCTCGGGTTTGGGTCCCCGAGCTCCACCTAGACGTCCAATAGTTATAGAACTTATAATCGTAGTGTTCATCAGACTGAACCCCTTGTAGTTTTCACAAGGGGATTTCTCTCGTTTCTTGAAAACTGGGATAGTCAGTGATTGGGACCAACTAGGCTGAGTCAACTGATTCCATGCTCTAGGGAGCCATTATTATTAAATACCTGCAGTACTAGTCCATCTAGCCCTACTGGCGTTCCTCGTTTCAGGCTACCTACAGTTTTCAAAACTTTTCGACTATTAGAGGATTTGTTCCAGTGTTTCATCGAGCATCCAACTAAATAATAAAAAACAATAGCAGCTGGATGCCAGGTGAATTGTTCTACCCAACGTTCAGGTCAGAGACTTATGCTTCTCTGTTATAGTCTCAATAACCATAGACATTTATGAAGGCAAAACAGTTTCGATGCTAAAAAAAATACGCTGAATTAATACAAAACTTTAGAAAACTGTAGATAAGTAGCTTTATCTGTTCTAAGATACCAACTACGTAAGCCCATGCATTTGTTGATGTAGATATCATGCAACCAGATGTCACATTTTTTGGTCAGATTTCGTCAACTTTCTATCGACCGATTGGACATAATGTCTGTGCAGCATGAGAAAACTTTATCAACGCCTTGCTGGTAAGTGCCAACAAGCATGAAATCTAGGTTCAGAGATTCCTGCTGATTGCCTCCAACCAACAAAACTTATCAAAATGCACCGCCAAATTGGGTCTCCTAAATTTGTGGCCATATTGCAAAAAATTACCCACAGAATCTGGTCAGTAGTCGGGACTAGACAAAATGGCATTCGTTACTTTCTATTAGTCAATCAAAACAATGCTCACTCATCTAAAAAAATGAAATCCCAAAAGCTTTTAAAAGTAGTTTTCATGTGACTAGCCTACTTCCAAACAAATGTCTGATGAAAAATATTATCATTATGAAAGGATTTTGGTAGGTAATAAAATCGCTTCAATCCCATATGTGGGACACTGCAAACACAAAATGTTGTAATATATTCAGAATTTTCGCACAACTGAAACAAGTGAATAAAGGTGTGCGTGCTACATTATTAGGTCACGCGTACAAACAGAAAGTTGCTTGAGATCAGTAGGCTCTTTGAGGAAGTATGTAGGGGATACGATGCAAGTAACAATTCCATCAAGTTCCTAAGCAAAACAGCAAGTTAATTCGAGGGTCATTGATGGTTTTCGATTGATATGAGTGAATTTTTTGAGAACAAGAACTGATGAGAAGGATGATTGTCACAGTAAGTAGTCACTTGGTATGATTACTATGTGCTAACCACATTTAGAACTACAATGCCAGTTGACTTACTTTATCCATTAAAAACTTTATAGTGATACATTAGTGAACCTGTAGGCAATGAGTCGCGCATTGTTTGGGGACTAATGATACTTCCTGAGAACCCAGACCTCGGTAGGTGGAGAGAGTTAGAACACGGCCCATCGGTCGGAAGTTAAGTGCATAAAGTAATGAACAACAGTCACACTCTTGAAGTGCACACTCCCCTGCATTGTTAAGATTAACAGTCAGTAACTTCATGCACTAATATTAACCCCAACTTTATACAAACTAATGAGAATTCAGCTAACATTGCATGATGGTAGACGGAAAATTGTTAGGCGTAGCATGCATAAGGGTCAAGTTATATGTCAAGGGTATAGAAACTCGTTGACAGATTAACCTCATCTAAGACTTCATACCTGACGTTTACGTTTCTCATGTAACATTCAGATATTCAACTGGTATGCATCGCTCAAACCCTTTAATAGCTGGTGGAACTGAATTTATATTGTGACTCTGCGGTTAGCAATACCGTACTGCAAAATCCATCAGCAGTTACATATATGGGTTACTCTAATATAAATTACGGTATTTGAGGCGCACATAAATATTTTTAGTAATCACCCTTGCATTCACTAAGATACAAAAGAGGAGCTTTGTAGTAATTATACCTAGATTTGAGAAGTACAGATAGGCTAATTGTTCGAGATTCGATGGTTCCAACTGACCGTTATGACGCGGCAAACTGAACTACTACATATTTCTCCTAAACTGTGTTAGGACAGAGAAATTAGTCTGCCTTCAACCCGTTACTTTTTGGGCTTTAGTAATACTGCTAAATCTCCAGATTTTCTATGGAGGCTATCTGATAAATCAGTCGGACAAAATACGAAATGAATACAAGTTTTCCTTCATTTTTACTTGATTAAAGAACCCGTTATTCACTTTTAGCAGTGACATATTTGGTACGTTCATCGAATTCACTAAGCGAAACCTATAGTGGGCAATGGAAACTCGGTCGTTTAGCTGAAAATATAAT